CAGAAGACCTGCTGAGTGCCGGTAGTCCTGCTCGTGTCTACGGTAATGTCAAGAGTATCATCTTGGGTCTTGGCGAACGATGTAGAGTTGACGTCGACGCTGTAGATGGGCTCAAAGTCCGTCTTATCCTGACACTGAGAATCGGTGGGCGCCTTGCCGGCATCCTTGGGCATGAGGCCGTTTGCCGCACCCTCGTACTGGAAGATGGCAGCGGGCTTGTTCATGTTGGACGTGCCGCAGAGTCTGTTGGACGGGAACGTGACGTTGAACCAGTATGCCTTGCTGGCGTCCTGGTCAGCATCGATGATGACATCGTAGCGCTGGCCAACAGTCAGGTAGAGCGAGTCAGTCTCAAAGGGCTTGACAGGGACAAAATCGGTTCCCGTCACCGTCATCTTGTGGCCGACGAGGTTCACCGTGAAGGTGTTGTCGACGGACATGTTGACGAGGCGGATCTTGTGAGACTTGCCCTTCTTGAGCGTCACGCGGGAGTAATTACCACCGCCGTTCTTGTTGATGTTGGTGCCGTTGAAGAGAATGTTGTCACTGGCGGGGACGGCAGCTGGGGCAGTAAAGGTGGAGCGGATCTCGTCGGCGGACTTGTAGTACCAATCCGTGATGGAGTAGGTGCCGAGATCCTCGTCGTAGTTCTTGGAGGTAGGTCCGTCGATCTGAATGGTACCGGCGATACCGTTCGCATACTGGTCGGAGAAATGTGAATGGTACCACGATGAACCGTACTGCTCGGCACGCCACTCGTAGGTCTTGCTGGCTCCTGGTGGGATGGGGCATTCGGTGATACCGTTGACACCATCGTTCTGGTTGTTGTTCAGAAGTCGCAGGCCGTGCCAATGCATTGAGGTTCTGTGGGGTTGTCAGCGCGTCAACATTCGAAAGATGGGTGCGCGTTATAGCTGCTGTTACTCACCCATTCGTCCTCAAGTTGTTCACGACTCTGACCTTGATCTTATCACCCCAATTCGCCTTGATGTTCGGGCCAGGGAAGCCACCTACAAGGTCTTGAGTCAGCACACAACGATGTGGAAGGGACGAGAGATTCTAGCTTACCATTGATCAACATCGCCGTGTTCTTGGTCATGCCGTCTTGAGCTTGGAAAGAGGTGTGCTCGGTGAGAACCAAGTCATACTGTCCAACTTGTTAGCACAGCGTAACCCCTCAGAGTACACATGTTGACCAACCTCTCTCGTCACGCCAGTATCTGGGATCGACTCCTCGTACGCAGTCTTGATATCGAATCCTTCAACCCAACACTGTCTGTTGTCGGCAGTGTTGCAGGACTTAGGCCCTTGGTTGGAGTCCGCAGGGGTTGACGAGCCAGGCTGTGCGTTGTCCTGCCTCCTTGAGACACCAGTGTTGGACGACGGCGAGGGGACGGCTGCTGCTAGGCCATAGAGGAAGAAGAGCGCGCTCTTGGAGAGTGTCGACCTCATCTTGACTGTCTTTGGCTGATGCGTATGCCGAGGGCTATAAGTGTCTGATCGAATTGCCCTATACAGGAGTCAGTCAACGAGGATTCCATCACATGAAGTGGCACTCCGAGGAGGAAGTGACTTACCTAGTCCACCCAGTATTAATCTCTATCACAACCTTGTTTGTTCGACGTAAAAAGAGAAGAGCTTCCAGAAAATTCAACTCTTCAACGGTCTACCCAACCTTTAGATAAGGTGGACAACCTGCGCTGGGATATTGGCCACCGCGCGATTAACCTCGAGAAAGGGAGCACGGTGCTGCCGTTCGGGGATGAACCGTGATCTAGCCTTTTCGGTCGAGCGTTGCGAAACGTAGGAAACTGTTGGAGATTGCGCCGCGGAAGGGAAGAAGCTCGTTCCTAGACACACCCACGTACCGACCAGAGAGCTTTATACCAAGGTGGGCGGCACCAAGACGGCGGGTTCGTTTCAATATCTTCGGGCTGAGAAAGGGAAGGCAAAAGTGAGATGGGATGATGTTTGGAACAGTCTGAGTGGGAGTGAGCGTGTGTATAGTTTACTGCGGTTGGATTGCATTGGATTGTGTGTAGTGCTTGACAGTCGGTCCCGGGTACCAAGCGGCCTTTGAGTCCATGGCCGCCTTGGTGGGCGGTTATCACGAGTGTTAGACAAGCCCGAGGTGGGTAACTCTGTATGTACGTTCGCTTCTACCCGGCCGCCGGAACCAAGGTCCGCTCTCCGGGTTGCTGAGTACAGGCATGGGAGAGGGACACTTCAGACTGAGGTAGGCTGCAAGGCAAGAGGCAATCTGAAGAGAGGTATGGGGGTTCAGGATAGACGGCCGCCACCATGCAGCTCTCGGGCGGCTTTCGGGTTCGTATGACTTCCCGTTGTGACCAAGGGTATATCGGCATCAGAGAGAGAGAGAGAGAGACAGGCGCGTCTGCTGAGACGGAGGAGTCTCGTTTGGCGGTTGCATGATGATTCATCAGGAAACTGGAAAGCCACACTCCCTTTGTCAGCTGCGCGTTTCTAAGCGCCGTTGGATGTTTCGCGACATCTCTCTTGTCGTCAAATCATGCGGCTCAAAGTTGTGAATCCTGTATGATATTCCTTAGCCGGTTGATCCTATGGCTCCTATCCCGGGATTTACCAAAAATGAGAAAGTCGCCACGGCCTAGAGCCCGTCTTCCCGTGTGGCAATCCTGTCTTTGATCAAGCCTCTTCATGTGCATTCTCCAGCCCATAGTGTGTCGATTCGTCGAACGCAGCGGTCGTCTTCGGCCGTGTCTTGGCCCTGCGCAAGCAAAGCGTATCTTGCGTTTGGCAGCAAAAAGGTCTGAGCAGCGTGGCTATACCATGTATCAAAACCGCCATAGCCTTTCAAAATGTCGAGCGCTCGGCCACCGGCAAGCGGCAACGTGCTTCTGTCTCTCCGCTATGTCCTCTCTCTACTCAGCTCCACAGTCCACTTCCCCCACGAACATTCCACCTCTGAGAAGAAAGGCTGATGCTCGAAGCTAGGCACAGTGCCCCTCCAACCCTCAGCCGGTGCATGTGGCGTGGTTGACGGTCTTGAAAAATTGGCCGTGCGGTTGTATGAGAAGGACTGCTGAGGGTTAGAGGATCGAAAACTTTGAAGGATTTCATCTTCTGCCCGAGGATCGAACCAAAACGTCTAAAACGACTTTGTTCGATGGACGGGTAATGCGATTTCTTCTCTTCCCTCGCCACATTGCTTTCTTACCCGAGGGCTCAGCCAAGGAGACGTGCGGGTGTCAAATCTGACGTGAACCGCGGTGCTGGCACACGTTGGATTAGCGTTGCAAAGCACTCCGAGTTTTCCTGTCGCTGCAGTTGGTGTAGCATTAATTGTGGCGGGTGGGAGTACATATTTGAGATATTTAGGCCAAGTAAAAGCTGCAGCCAAGATTCACGCGCCTGCGGGACCGCTTATCGCCAAGTCGGCGAAGATGAGGCTCAAGTTTGAGTCAACGACATTGCGATAGACAAACAACAAACGCTTGCGTCTTTATGAGGTCGGCGAATGGCTGTTATTTGAGTCCGACGAAACAGTTCAAGTGGGCGGGAAACATGGGATGAACCCATTCGAAAGGGCTAGGGAACGGTCAGTGGTGGTGCAAAAGCCAACGGGCAAACCTTTTCGAGAAAACATGGTTCACTCGTGCTTTGAGGTTCTCAGGTCGGCAGTTTTACACATTATCGAATGTGTCCAAGCATAGTCAGTGGTGGCCTCATGCTTTGAATCTGACTTGAAGAATCGAGAAAGAAGTCAGTCTGATACATGGAAATGGGTCACCAGTGCTCGTTATAAAGAGAGCCCAAGTGCACCTTGCTTCTTGAGAACTAGGAGATCAAAAAGCCAAAAGTATTGATAGCACAACCTGGTTTCGATCCAGGGACCTCTGGGTTATGAGCCCAGCGCTCTACCCCTGAGCTATTGTGCTTGATGATGGGTATTCGTTGATGGTGAGAACGAGACCACAGGTTGTTGATTAGGGCTTTGGATTTGTGGATCGTCCTCTGTTGAGTCACGATGTCTACAGTTTTGTGTGCCTGTGGGTGCGTTTGTGGGTCGATGGTAAGTGCACGACTTGGCCTCAGGGCTCGAGTTGAATTGGCCTCACCTCATGTGAATTCAGGAGTTCGAACCGTGCGGCATATGTGCGGAGAAACACCTGCCACTGCTCCGCTGAATTGTCTCAAGTTTGCCTGAGTTGCAAAGTCTGGGATTATCTCTATGCCCAAGAAAGAAAAAGTCGCACAGCGTGTTTTGCTCAATGTGACGATTCGGGGTAAGGGCAAAGACAAATGCCCTGATCGGCTCCGTATGCGGGCCCTGCTCTCGGTGATGTGGGCCTCTCCGATCCGGACAATGATCGGGCTTCCGGTCGCTGGCAGGGTGGGACAATGGGATCATGCCATTGGATAACTGCTTCACGTCGGGTGCCGAATCAGAAGTCTCTCGTTTTCTCGATGTGGCGATTCATGAGCAGCCATTCAATTGGTGCGCTAATGAGCGACATAAGATACCATGGTCCTGGGTGTTCTGAGATAATTGCACTCTCCTGGGAGCCAATGAACTCGAATTCGGTCTGCAAAGAGGGTGACGAGGATCAGTTGAATGTTTAAGCAACTTTATCTCATTCATGTTAATGGATGATGAAATGAAGTTCTGGGTTAATAGACACGATGAGTTTCATTTATCATCTATGCTGCCCGAGCGAGGTGTGATGAGATGAATGAAGCAGGTGACTGTATCTGGTGTGGCTGCGATGAAAGGCAGACAAGGTGTGACTTACTACATCACGACAAAATGAGATACTCGTGATACCTGGCCATACTAACCGAATCACGACAAACAGGTGAGGGCAACATCACATGGTCCGGGGTTTTTTGCGCTGCAACAATTTCTTCAGAGCGCTAGTCTATCAAAGAAATTCTATAGACTTTCTGAACTCGAGTACTTTCAATTGACTCGTCAAGGCTTCTTCTGGCCATGTTTTTATCTCATACGCACACACAAAGACCGCTCAAATTTATCATGAAATATCCCAATTAAAACGCCGTGCCTCTGGCGACATGACTTCTGTTCCAGGGCGTGTATGCCAAAGGTCCCATCTCATTTCGTACCCGTCGTAACATGCAATCTGGAAGGGCATGTCTACCACTTGATGACCTTGGTGGGGAAGTACTCATCAATGAGCTCCATGTAGTAGGGCTGTCGCATCGTTAGCTTCATCATCAGGTTCAAGTGGATTGAGAGAAGGAACATACCTTGAGCTCCTCGACGGTGGGGGCATCGTCGGACTTGCTGTACAAGTCGTAGGGGTTGAAGGCAAGGACGGCCTTGAGGAGGTCCTCATCACCCTCCTTCATGAACTCGCGGTAGGCGCCCTCACGGTGCCAGGGGTAGAAGGAGTGGTAGCGGATCATGGCGAGAGCCTCACGGGGAAGCTTGGACTGCTCCTTGCAGACGGTGTACATGTACTCGTCGTGGCCCCATGAGATCATGAGGTTCTCAATACCGCAGCCGGGCTCGTAGATGCCGTTCTTGGTGCTGTAGACGGGGTGGGTGTTGTCGGGGTTGCCCTCAAAGGTGGTGGGGAGGACAATGCGGTTGTCAAAGGCACATCCGACGGGGAAGGTGTCACCGACGACATCCCACTGGCCCTCGGCTCCGTAGAAGAAGAGGAGCTTGCCGAGATCGTGGATCAGGCCGGTAAGCTGCATCCAGCGGGGCTTGCCGTCACGGCGCATGGCCTCGGCGGTCTGAAGCAAGTGCTGAATCTGAGAGAGCTCGGTGTCGGGGTCCGAGTTGTCGATGAGGGTGTTGAGCTTCTCCATGGCCTCCCAGATGGTCATCTCATCGCGGCAGGGGATCTTGCCAGTAAGGTCGATGGCGAACTTCTGGCGGGCAGCGAGGTTGTACTCGACGGTCTGCTTCTCATGCTGCTCCTTGTAAAAGTTCTTGACGCGGTCGCAAGCATCCTCGTACTGGCGGAAAGCGGTCTTGTCCTTCTCTGAGTCGAACTTGGACTCGCCCTCGTAGTCGTTCTGTGCCTTGTTGTACTGGTCCTTGAGAATGTTGACCTCCTCGACAAAGTCGGTGGTCTCCTCGAGGGCGTGTCCGTCGGTGCGGACGTAAGGGGTGGCGACAGCAGCAGCCATTGTGACAGTAGTTTGCAAAGTCGAAAAGAAGAGTTTGGTACAAAAAATCTAGGAAAGATTACAGCTCGATGTGAAGAAAGAGTCGATATATGATGGTCCTTCAAATGGGGGTATCACTCAAAATGCTGAAGACTGGTTTGATGATGAGCAAAAAGAGGGAGAAGTAGGTATCTGGAGATAGTCTTTAAATATGTTGTTGAAGACAAGATCACGGAAGATGAAGATTACGAACAGCAAGAAGAGTAACGGAGGAGGAGAGCGGGAAAAAACTCGGACATGGCGAGGTACCTGGTGTTGCCCGCCAGACGCAGTATTCGGGCCAAGTACCTCATCATGGCAGCACCGGGTATCCGTACTGGTGTGGGCAAAAGGCTAACTTGGACAAGCAGCCCGAGTTGACGTTTTTGCCGTGAAGGGTCGTCATCTGCATGGCCCTTGTCTTGCCCGTGCAGAACTATGCCCCGCGGAGAGTGGTTATGATCCAGATGGAGCAGGAAAGACGGGGCGAGATTTCAGATCTGTGGAGAGGCCCTGGAGAGTTGCGACGTTGCGACGAAGAAAGGCGAGGCCGGCGAGGGGATTCCAAGTTTTGCGCAGTTGGAAGAGGAGAAAATCGCCGAATTCTTGCTGGAAGAGGACCCCACCCAACTCCAGAGACGGACCCACTCTTCACTCGCCGGAACAGAAGCAGCCAGAATCTCCGGTCACATGATCTCACATGACTCTGGAGTTTCGCTGCTAGTCCCAATTTGGACAATGCGGAGACTCGTGTAAGTCGCTGGAATTTCCAAAACTTTTGACCTCTCGCCAACTCACGACGACAATGGCAAAGAATCCCGAGATCCACGACTGCCATCCTTGTCAGTCGCAAACGCTCGAACGCTTCTTCCATCTCCAGACCTCCACGACTCCACGCCAACCGCATTCCGGGATGGCCAGAAACGATGCAATGTGACGGCGCCCTTGCGTCTCTGCCAATCTTGGATTCTTTTTCTGCGGCAAAGCTTAATCGCTTTTCCCCCGGTCCACCCCTCCACGACCCTACGAGACCTTCTAGCCCCGCCGCCATCATCATGGGATTTGCAGACTATGTTTGATTATTCCCTCTTTTGGCTTTTGGCTGCCACGCAGACCTCGACACCCCCCCTGCCAACGCCAACCAACGCCGTTCCCGCTCAATGCAGGACATCTCCATCCCCGCGGATTCCTCTCCTCTTTTCAGTAATGGCTTCCTACTGATTGGATATAGAACACTTGCCGGAGGCTACATCCCAGTGGTCCCTTGCCAGACCTCTCCCCTCACCGTCACCCGGTGTCCGCCCCGGCCTTCTCCCGAGATTCTTGGCTTCGGAGCCTTCGATTCGCCCAAAACGAACACGTCTGACATCAATTTTCGTCACAGCTTCGGGGCCTCCTTCCCAATGTCGTCCCTGACGGTAATCCAGGGCGAGCTTGGCCAAGACCTGCTGGCTTCCCCACGCGTCCCAAACAACCCCGCGGGATCTGGATGGTCCCTACGTGTTCCAATGTGCCACGGCAGCTGTCAGTTTCAAGCTCAGACCAGCCGGCAGTACACGACGATGCTCATCTATTCGTATATGGGCACCATGTGGATGGAACGCCGTGTGCGCCGTGTGCGGGGAGCCCGTGAGCATCGCCATCTTTGAAATCAGACACTCTCGAGATCAGGTTGGCCAGCGATAACCCGCGGATAATGAGGAACCAAGCAGATGGAATCGCGAAATATGTCCGATTGCTTTCAGCCTGCATCGTACGCTATACTACTGTGCCAGCCAAGCCAGGCCAGCCAGATCCTGCCACTACAAACACAGCATCATGACGCTTTTACACTATCAAGTCGGGTATCCACAGATTGCAAACCAAGCGAAATCCAAGTCCGGGGGACGTATCCAGTCATGTCCGGTTCAGTTCAGTCCAGTCCAGTCCAGCCCCATGCACCAAGTCTATCGTGATCCATATCCAATCCTAGTGAGGGGCGATCTCTCTCGTGTCTCGCCCAACAGTCATTATCGTGATCCAATGGAAGAGGCTTTCATCAAACATCTTCTCGGCGACTGGCCTGCCAGTCCAGTTCGCCTACGCATGTCTCTGAACCCCGCCTCTCCCAACCTCTGCGGTCTGGGGTAGGGCGAAGTGGGCGGTCACCCTGTGCTCCTCCTCAATCCTCGTTCATTGCCTCCCCGTCCATCCAGCCCCATGCGTGCATCAGCTGATCCCGCACCGCTGTCGTGGGCCTTGCGTGGGCCTTTTCGGTGATGCTGAGCATCTTCAGCAGAGCTTCCTGGTCATGCTTGGTGTCGAATCGATCACCGGCTGGGGGAGGCCCAAATTAGTCTACTGTTGAGGACGTTCGAGTTTGAAGGCTACAGAAACAGGAAAAAAGCAACGACAGACGAATTAGGAGGAAACAAAAAAACAAAACGTACCGATGGCTATACCCATACAAGCCGTGAACATGGCCGGCGGTGACCACTGGTTGCACATGCCGATTCCACAGAGACTCCGCAGGAGATCCTGTATCTGCTGCGTCAACCTTTTCTCAGCGGCTTTACGGCCACCGCCGACTCGTGGTATGCTCGGATTGAACAGCACGAGGTACATTTCGGCGAGAATGTGGTGTTGGACAGCGATGACTACCAAGAAGTTGTTAGTAAGCGGTTCATGAATAGGAGAGTTGGCCATGAGCCAGCCTTCCGGATCGTCGGATCTCTGAGATACTCTCCGTGTCCGGGAGCAGTTCCGAGATCAGGCCAGACCAGACCGGGACCAGACCAGGGGTATACTCACTATGACACGCCTTCTGGTACCATACTTCGGGAAAAGCCTCCTCATCTGTCCTTTCTCGGAAGAAGATGGGAGTGTACGACGGCGGTAGCGCGTTCTTCCATTCTCTGTTTGCCATTTCGAGCTGGCCCCATTGCAGCACCGACCCCGCCTCGGACCCGAAGCAGAAGTTGAGGACATCGGCGCAGTGGACAATGGCACGATTTGCCCAGACAAAGTCGTCGGCCGGGGTGGTGGATCGGTCGACAATGGCATGACCGAGGTTCATTCGGACCACCTGTTGGTTGATGACGGCGCTGTAGATCTCCTGCCTCAGTCCAGCCCAAAAGCATGCCGCCGTCAAAGTTCCCGGCATAAGGAATCGGTCTCCGGCGTTGACAAAGGCGTGAATTCCGAGCAGGTGGCCGTGCGTGTCCTGGCCCAGGGTGTTTACATCGATTTCTTCCAGCACGCGAAGTATGATTGTTGCAGCAAACAAGTTCTCGTCCGACACCGTTCCTGCGTGATCCAGCAGTGGAATCAAGTAGTTGAGGCACTGCTCGTGGTACCGGTTCGATGCCAGCGAGTCGTATGCGCTCGTCAGGCTGAGATGCCTCGAGGCAAGGGCGAAGATGGCGTTAAGCAAGATGGGACATGAGCCGGCACGCTGCGGTACTTCGACCTCGAAATGTCTGGAGGGATCACACGCATCGAGCTGGTGGTCCGGTCAGTGTGGTTTCTTCGCCGCTTCAAAAAAGCAAGCCATCCCGCAGCTATTTCAACATACCCAGAATCCAAGTTTGTCCACGTAATGACGGAACAGCGTGGCTTCTTTTCGGCCTTGGATAGGCCATATCGGTCGATCGGTGTATATGCCCTCCAACGGCGGCAACATGGACTGCACCGGTGGCAGACTCACGACGGAGCCAGAATGTTCGCGATGGCTACCGTGCTGGCTGTGGTTATCGGCGCCGGGCGTACTCAACGATATCCGATGCGGAGGTTGGACAGGCTCGTCCACCACGTCGCCGCCATCAACAACGCTTTTGGCGCCGGGCCGGCTCTCGTCGCCAGGCAAAGGCCAGCTTGCCGCCTTTGCTGCGTATATTGACGGCCGACGCTGATCATCTGAGACTGTCGAGTCCACGACTGTAGCCGTGCCTGGCGAAGTGGACGCAACTTCTGTTGTGGCTTCTGTCCCAACCTCGTCAACGTCCGGCGCCGAGTCGTGGACGGACTCGTTGCTGTCGAGGTCCTCGCCGAGCTCGACACCGCGAGTCTCGTCGATGAACTTGAGCTTCTTTGGCGGCGCTGGCCACTTGTGGCTCTCTCTGAATACGGCGTGCTTGGGTGCGCGAAACTTGTAGCCCTTTTTGCACTCTCGCCCTGTCATCAGGCACCGCCCGCAGATGGGCAGCACTCGATCACATCGCAGGTGCTGCTCGCGACACTGCTCGCTGCACGGATCAAACACAGTCAGCAACCTGGTCCTCGATCATGATATCTCTGTCAAACTTTGCGGTTCTCTCCCACCGGCTCTCTCTCCACAGCTGCCTCGTTTCTCACAAACCGAGACCAGAGCCATCGCAACCGACTTTCTCACTCTTCCTCGGCGTGAGAACAGCAACCGACAACGACGACCTTGAGCTTCCTTCACCTTGCCGTCACCGGCGAGAGCTTCATTGCCTTCATCTCTCGCCGAAATCTGCTCGGCACCCCGCGTCTCAAGGTGAGCGGCGCCGCCGTCCGTGTCGCCGTCGGTGCGAATGGCCTCCAAATTGACGCCTCCAAAACAGGTGTTTTTCCCCGAGAGGCCCGCCCCTCCTCGGGTGGATCAGCAGAGTCTCACTCACCAGGTCGTGGCACTTAGCGAATCAGGCGCTTCGGGAGACGGCATGGCACTTGTGCCACTTGCAATTCTTTCCGAGCCCCCAGTTGAGGCTGCAATGAAATGATTGAAACCCGGGGAAGATGGAGAAGATCTGGGGGAGCCCCTCGATTTTTGAGCAGATCTGAAATTGAATTGAAGCTTGAGTCCGGGGCGACGACCAGTGACGTGTGTGGGGATGCGAGTTGGTCAGCAGCACATCCGACGACACCTCTCCACTCACGACACACACATAGCACACACACACACACACGCACCACAGACACACAGAGAGTCAGGGACCCCTTTTTTACCAGTTCAGACTCTGCCAGTTTCTGGGCACTTCAGGCCAGTCTCAAAAGGCCAGCCAGACGCCGATGGCCGAGCCACTCCGACGGTTCCCCAGCGCTCTCTCTTTTTCGCTCTCGGTACCCAACTGCCAACAAAGTTGGCGCAGATACTTGAAGACTCTTGTTGGCTCTTCTGGGCTCTTGGATTCAATTGTTCCCGGGCCTCTGGTTCTACAGCAAAGTCGAACGAGTTTTCCAATAGTTTTCCTTTCATTCATCCGCCCTTTTCTCCCACACTACCGGCGCCAACTCTATCTTTGTTTCTCACCCTCACTACGCCGTACTCACGCACCCGAAAGCTGAACCTGGACTTTTCTTCCCCGCCCTCCCTTGCTGCAGCAGCCATGGACTTCTTCCCGATGGCTTGGGTCTGCACGCAACCAACGATTCAACGGCCGCTCAGCTGACCATTTCGACACCACCAACATGGGCGACGCTCAAACTTCCCCCGCACGCTAGAGTTGGCCCAGACAAACTCAATGGCAGCAAAGGGTTCCCATCTCCGTCCCAACGTGACGGCCTGGCAGATGTCGAACGCACCCTGTCATGACACAGAGAAACACGCCAACCCCCCTTGGGCGGCACCCCGACGACAGAAATGTCACGTCGCTTTACCTTATCTCGCCCAAGTCCCAAATTACCCCAGCATCTGCCATCAAAAAGATGAACGGGTACCCCTCGCCGACGAGAACCAATCTGCCCAATGGCTAGCTCCCTTTTCTGCTCTTCCATGTCTCCAAGAAGCCAAAGAGTCCAAAGGCCCCCTTGCGAATTGCGACGGCTTCGGTAACTTTGACCAGTCCCCTGGTCTTCTCGGCACAGGATTCTCCTCATCCTTCCAGTAGCTGACGACTGGTCTATCGGAAGATTGCCCTTGTTTATTTGACCGCAAAAAAAGAGGACGCGCGATACCGAACGGAACAAATCAAATCAAACAACCAGACGAGTTCAATGTCCCGGCCCCAGTCTTTCGCACTTCGTCAAAAAATTCGAGCCCTTTCTTTTGTGGGTTTTCCCATCGAAGCCGTAGGCCCGTAGCCATCGTCCCACACAATCCAGGACCGTTCGTTCCCGTCGCGCGCGAATATTTTGTTGTTATATAACCTCCGGCGATTCCCCCCAATCTCCACCTCTTGACGATCTCTCCTCTTCAGCAAGCAGCATCTCCCAGCGCGGCCGCTTTCTCGAAGCTCTTTTTCTCACCACATCCGCTCTCAACGCCAGCCTTGGCAACGCTCAACGATCCGCTCGTTGTGCGCGCAATCTCCCCTTTGCAGCACGCGATAGTGTGTGCATCGTCGTAAAACCTCGAGAGAATTCGGTTTCTCTTTGAGAACAGTTATCAACAACAACAAACTCCACCACGCCACGCAACGCAACCCTCCCTTCAAAACCCATCCACGATGGAGTCCAAATCGGCGCACGATGATGTGGTCGCCGCCCCAGACCGCGTCTCGGCCGAAATCGGCGATCACCACTCGGCCAAGCTCGCCAGCAACTTTGTCCAGAATGCCAAAGCGGCCACGGATAAGGAGCACAAGATGACTCTGATGCAGGGCATTAAGCTCTACCCCAAGGCCATTGCCTGGAGTGTGCTCATCTCGACCTGCATTGCTATGGAGGGCTACGACATCAGTCTCGTCAGCAACTTTTACGCATTCCCGCAATTCAACCAAAAGTACGGCGTCCTCACCGCCGACGGATCCTACCAGGTGCCCGCGCCGTGGCAGGCCGGCCTCAGCAACGGTGCCACCGTCGGCGAGATCATCGGCCTCTTCATTAACGGATGGGTCTCGGAACGCTTCGGCTACAGGTGGACCGTCATCACATGCCTTTTGCTTGTCGCCGCCTTCACCACAATCTTCTTCACCGCGCAAAACGTGCAGACTCTGCTCGCTGCCGAGATCCTCTGCGGTATCCCATGGGGTGTCTTCCAGACGCTGTGCATCACCTATGCCTCCGAGGTCTGCCCCGTCGCCCTGCGCGGCTACCTGACGACCTATGTCAACTTTTGCTGGGGTATGGGCCAGGAGATTGGTATCGGCGTCATCGTCTCCATGCTCGACCGCCAGGACGAGTGGGCATACCGCATTCCCTACGCTCTGCAGTGGATGTGGCCGGTGCCTTTGGCCATTGGTATCTACTTTGCGCCAGAGTCGCCCTGGTGGCTGGTGCGCAAGGGCAAGATTGACGAGGCCAAGAAGTCGCTGCTGCGCCTGACGAGCAGGGACAAGGAGACGGACTTTGACGCCGACGAGACGGTCGCCATGATGGTGCACACCAACTCGATTGAGGAGAAGATCACTGAAGGCGCATCCTACCTGGACTGCTTCAAGGGCGTCGACCTGCGCCGCACCGAGATTGTGTGCATGGTTTGGGCCATTCAGAACCTCAGCGGCAACTCGTTCTCCAACTACTCTACGTAAGTTTCTTCTGTCTCGATCGCGCATCCACCGTTCTATGTACCCAGATGGACTAACATGAGGATGTCGCAGATACTTCCTCAAGCAGGCCGGTCTCTCCACCAGAAACTCGTACAACTTTGCGCTCGGTCAGTACGCCATCAACATGGTCGGTGTCTTTGGCGCGTGGTTCCTCATGTCGTGGGGCATCGGCCGTCGCACGCTGTATCTCTACGGTCTCTGCGGTCTCTGCAGCATGCTCATGATCCTCGGCTTCCTGGGCCTCGTGCCGGCCGAACACCGCGACCAGGGCGCGCTCGCGACGGGCTCCATCATGATGGTCTGGGCTCTCTTCTACCAGCTCACCGTCGGCACCGTGTGCTACTCGCTCGTCAGTGAATTGCCGTCGCGTCGTCTGCAGATCAAGACTGTCGTGCTTGGCCGCAACCTCTAGTAAGTTCCCGATGCACTCTTCGGTCTCAACTCGAACAAATGCTAACCGCGTCACCCCCGCAGCAACATTGTCGGAATCATCAACAACGTCCTCACCCCCTACATGCTCAACCCCAGCGCGTGGAACTGGCAAAACTACACGGGCTTCTTCTGGGGCGGCATCTGCTTCCTCTGCTGTGTGTACACCTACTTCCGCGTCCCCGAGCCCCGCGGCCGCACCTACGCCGAGCTGGACAAGCTGTTTGAGCACAAGGTTGCCGCGCGCAAGTTCGAGGGTACCACCGTCGACGTGTTTGAGGAGGGCGCCGTCGACGAGAAGGCGATGAATAACTATCACCAGCAGATTCGCGTCTCGCACTCTGAGAAGGATGTGCAGGTGTAGAGTGCTGATGGTGGAGGGTGTTGCTATTGTCTCTGGCTGGCGTTGTGCGCTGTGTGCTGCACCGAGTGCCGAGCGGGAAGAGAGACCTTGGCTATGGAAATGATGGACGAAAGCACGTAATGCTGTAATGCATGTATTTAATTCCGACGAAGCATATGAATCTATAACGAAATTGTTAATCCGCTGCAACTTATTATTTTCCTACGGGTGCATTACCTTGACTGTGTGAGTCCACTTGACGCAAACCCACTGAGACAACGCGACTGTCAGCTCCCGGTCGACTATCTCCAAAGTCCGCCATCCCCCGCATCACACCTTCCCCGCACGAGGGTGTGTTTGTCGCGGGAGAAGACGGGAGGATTCGAGGAGGGGAGAGGGAGAGGAGGGGGTTGCGCTGAGGGAGATCGACTTCGGGGGATTTGGGGATTAAGCATTCCCTTCGCGGTGGCTGGTTGGCTAGGTTTATTCTCCGCAGCCTCCAACTGCCGGATGCCTGTTTTTGCTTTTGTATCTTTGAATCGTCTGTGTCTCGCTTCGCTGTGGTAGTCTGGGTGGTAATGGGCGAAGCTTTTCGAGAGAGAGAGACATTGGTTAGAGATTGACGTGGACCGATGGTTGACAAGTCCGTTAGCTTGTTCCTCTCTGTCGGAACCGCACGGATGCTATCATGTCACCGTGTGACTTGACGATAACCGATAACCTAGGTCATGTTGAGATCATTGACCATGTTGTTTCTTCAAGCCGGTAAGGAAAGTAGAATAAGCTGGCGCAACACGGCTAGAGACAAGTCCGTCATGCTGGAACAGCCACCAGGCTCATTCAATCCAAAGTGGGTACAAATCCGTCGTGTCCATATTCTTACATGACAGATGCCAGCAACATTCGACTAAAAGTGGTTCCATCCCCTTTGGTCTTGGGTGCGCGTTTGGAAATCCGTCAAAATTTCGACGGATAAACACATCCACCAGCGAGCATATGCAAACCTTCTCTCACGGCTTCAAACCACTGACCACCGCACCTAATCTACGTAGTCCATTGGGTTCACAAATCCACAGCGGCCGGGTCTCCGCGATTGCGGGGACCCCACACAGCCATCACGGCTCGAAGGGGGGACGAGAGCAGCCGAGCAGGGTAGCATGGGCCAGATAGACAGAGACAGAGACCGAGGGTGAGAGAATGGGCCGGGCCAAGAGCCCAGAGGTGGTAGTAGTGTCGTGGAGGTAGTGCCGGCTTTCGTGGGAGGATCCAACGCCGTGGTTGTGCCAAGTCTGTACCTTGCTCTTTCTTTCGGGTTTGTACGCTTATGTGTTTCTGAGAGCCTCCATTTACCTTTGGCTACCTAGTCCTTTGAAGTCGTCCAACTACATATGAGCGAACATCTCGAGATCGTTGCTTCAACTTTTACTGCTTCTCTTTTCCTTTCTTCTCTAGGCCAGAAGCATCCCCTTTTTCTTCCCTCCCCCCTCCTCCTCTACATCCCTCCAACTTCATTTCTCTTCTTTAAAGTGTCAAGTGTATCATATCGCAACCCGCCGACGGCAACGGTCACAACCGGAACAGCGTAGCCAAAAAAAGACTTCAAACATAGAGGCCGTGCAAAATGTCGACGACGGACAAGCCCGAGATCTCCTTCGTCGACGACAGGGAAGACGACACCCGGTCAGACTCGGAGAAGGCGCCTGCGGTGCGTATAATCGACGATGTTCGCGTTCTGGGACTCAGCGAGGACGATGCCGAATTTTATGCCAATTTCTCGCCGGAGCAGCGCAAGAAGACGATTCGCAAGGTTTGTCAAGTCTCTTTAGCCGAATCATCCAACATAGCATGGCGGTTGCTTTAGAAGGAAGTAACATTAGTTGCTAACGTGAGAAAAGATCGACGTCCGCTTGGTGCCGATGCTTGCGGTTCTCTATCTCATCTCCCATCTCGACCGCGCAAACATTGGCAATGCCAAGATTGAAGGTCTGGCCGAGGACCTGAAGCTCAGCGGTGTGCAGTGGAACATTGCCCTAAGTCTCTTCTTCGTTCCCTATGTCCTGCTTGGTACGTTTTACCCCTTTCCATTCAGACTACACCATTATACTTCAAGTTACTAATGTCCTGTAGAGGTCCCTAGCAACATCATCCTCAAAAAGTTCAACCGTCCATCGGTCTACCTCGGTACTCTCGTAACGATATGGGGCGTCATCATGACCTGCCACGGCGTCGTCAAGAACTTTGCCGGTCTTCTCAGCGTCCGTCTTCTCCTTGGCGTCTTTGAAGCCGGTTTCTACCCTGGTGCCGTCTACCTCTGCACCTTCTGGTACTTGCCGTGAGTAATACATCTTTCTCCCTCAAAAGACCTCTACTAACAAGGTAAAATAGTCGCGACCTGGCAGCCCGCATCGCCTGGTTCTACTGCACATCCGCCCTCTCCGGCGCCTTCTCCGGCCTCCTCGCCGCCGCAATCGCAAAGATGGACGGCGTAGGCGGCTACGAAGGCTGGCGCTGGATCTTCATCCTCGAGGGCGTCTTCACCGTCGGCCTCGGCATCGCCACCTTCTTCCTCCTCATCGACCGCCCTTCGCTCAGCGGGAAGTGGCTCACCCCCGAAGAAATCCGCTTCCTCGAGATCCAGCACTTCATCAAGCAAGGCGGGCGATTCCAGGACGAGAAGCAGGAGGACAAGTTCAAGTGGCACGATCTCAAGGCAGTCGTTACGAACTGGAGGCTGTACATGCAGGCGTGGGCGCTCCTCGCTACCTCGGCGTGCTCTTATGGTACCAAGTTTACTCTGCCGACTATTACGAAGGCCATGGGCTTCAACAACACCGCCGCGCAGCTCATGACTGTCCCGCCGTACTTTTGCGGTGCCGCCTCGGCCATCTTCTTCGCTCGCTTGTCGGACAGGTTCTACTGGCGCATGCCCTTCGTCGCGATCCCCATGGGCCTCATCACCATCGGCTACGGCGTCATCATCTCCTTCAAGGGCGATCTCTCTGGTAACATTGCGGGCGCCATGGTTGGTGTTATCATCACTTGCATGGGTATCTACCCCATCCAGCCCGCGGGATCCTCCTGGGCGGCGAACAACCTCGCCCCCGCCTCGCGCCGCGCCATCGGTGTGGCGTTCAACATCTGCGTGGGCAATATCGGTGGTATCATTGGCAGCTACATGTACCTCGACAACGAGAAGCCAAAGTACTACACCGGTTTCGGGCTGTCGCTGGCGTTTGGCGGTAGCGGTTTGATCGTTGCGCTGCTGCTGGAGTGGAGCTACAAGTGGGGGAATGATAGAAAGGCCAAGATGTCCGAGGAGGAGATTCGGGCAAAGTACACGGAGCAGCAGCTCATGGATATGGGTGACAAGAGCCCTCACTTCAAGTACACTCTGTAAGAGCTGTGCGATGATGTCGTAGGGTAGGCGGACTATGGATGGCGGAGACTGGGTCTCGGTGGCCGGTTGATGGCTATAGAATGTTGGATGAGGCGCGGAGATGTTCTTGACACTTATTATTTTTCCCGGAGTAAATAGCGATTGTTGATGCCGATAATGAACAGCAATCCTTTCTGGCCCAAATACTCTGTCTCTGATTCACTAAGGTAGCTGGCCGCAATGTTTGTGTCGTAAATCGTTAAAACTTCACGGAGGCTTCATGAAGAGTCGGAAGTGATAGTATCAATTGTGTTGTATAAGTACTTGAGACCTATCCTAATAACAAGCTCGTCTACCTTGTTGGTCTGTAGAGACTCGATAATCGCGTGTAGTCTGTTGCCAACAACCGAAAACTTCTTCACAATCACAACTCCAGAATATTGCTGAATTATCTTGCGCTATTGTGATGATTGCCGATTTTATAATGCCCAGTGATTCCATCTTTTCAAGTGGGGAACTCTTTTACTGCGCTGGATCACTACCAAGAAAGTAATTCAATGCCGTTGATGGGAGATGTTTGTCTGCAACGACTCAGCTCTTTTGGAGGTCGCTGCGTCAACTCAGGACTAAACCGTGTAGTCTTCCTGTGCCAAGCATGTGCCTGCCAAGCTACAAAAGCAACCTCCAGCTGTTACTCATCATCAGTCTGATGTCCAACTACTGACTCGCTCTTGGCGCATGCCGAGACATCATCCCGATAGAATCCCTGACTCTTGGGACCTGTCAGCCTCTTTGCCGGCAATGATCGGTTGTAAGTAGGTATCGCGATGGACTGCAACCCTCATGCAGATGTTATCTTGGAAGTCGGAAGACGTGCCGAACAAGTCAAATGCGGAAACTCGACAGGTGATACTGGCCATTTGAGAATGCTACTTACTCATCCGCTCTGTTGACTGTTACATCACATTGATAATTGCTGCATAGCGTCTTCTGATTACGGGGAAACTCGGGCTCTGCCCCATCCTCTGGTTCCTCTCCCCCAGAAATCCTAAGAATCCGCCTCGGTGTCGGATCTAGCACTACCCAGGACAACCCCGGATCTATCGCATACCCACGAACCGAACACGCCGCAACAATCAAGTCAACAAACGAGGAAGACTATGTGCCCCCTAGTGCTTCCCCCGCAGCAAAGATGAGGAGGAAGCGGGGGAGAAGACACCCTTGTCCCTGGTCGTCGTAGCGGCCCCCGCCTCCCCCCAAGTCAGAAACTCTTGTCTTTCCCCAGACAAATCCCCTCCGTTTTCCGTCGATTTGCGCTCAAGTTTCCTGTCCCATCTCTCTTCCTTCTTTTCCGACTTTCCATCCATCCTCAAGGCTCGAACCCTTTCCCGCCTCTGCCCCAAGGTAACCCGCCCATTCACTGTGCGCAACGCGCGGGCGTAACCGCGTGCGTGCGTTTTCGTCGCTCCACTGGGACGCTGCGCATAAGCAGACAAATCAGAAAAGCAAAAAGGCCAAGATAACAGGAAAAGGGGAGACCAGAGGGAGTGGACCCTTGCAAAAGTCCGTCGCGTCGCGTTTGCCTCCCGGCCATGGACGCCCCGGAGTACCGCCGTCCTCTCCCCGGCCCGGGAAGTCCGGCTCCCGATGGCCGTCACTCCTCATCGGCCGCTTCGGCCGCCGCAGCCAGCAGTCCCCGTGGAGATTCACGGAAACGAAGCTTCAGCTCCGCCGCCGATCAGCACTCACCTCTGTCCGATGAGTTGGCTGGCACTGGGTCCTCATCCTCCGCTGCCGCCGCCGCCGCAGCGAATCGCCGCAAATTGCAGAAAGTCAGCCGCGCGTGCGACTTTTGTAAGCAGCGCAAGGCGAGGTGCAGCGGGACTATTCCCTGCGACAAGTGCACCAGAAAGGGCCTCACGTGCGTCTACGATGCAAAGTACTCGCGCGGTCGCCCCCCGACACCTCCGCCCTCAGCTGTGTGGTCTACCGGTTCCAATGCCGTATCCGGATCCGAGGAGCCGCCTGTTGTCATGTACCAGACTACTGAAGAGGGAGGCGGAGAACACGTCGCTGCACCGGCTGCGCCGTCGCGTTCGCTGAGGGGACATGTACGCGAGAGCCAGGGCCCGGCGTCGCGAGCCTCGCCCGAGCTCGGTATGGCTGAGATCCAGGGCCAGATCTTCGACCCGACGTCAGGTGTGACTTTCTTGCACAGGGCGTGGAAGCGGCTCTCGAGACATGAGAGTAACATCGTCCCGGATGAGCTCAATGCCTCGACCGAGAGCCAGCCACTCATGCTGGCTGGTGATAAGCCGCTGCCCCCTGTTACTGACGAGGATGTGGTCAACTTATCGCTTCCGGACTCCAGAGAGATCCAGGACCTGCTGGCACTGTACTTCGATGTGTCCATCGCGACCTATCGTGTTCTGCACAGACCTTCTGTCGAGGCATGGCTAAAGACCATGATCAACAACCTTCGCCACGGAAAAGCCGTCTGGCAGGACATTGGCCGGGGTAAAGCCTCTATCGTCCTCACAGCGCTCGCCATTGCCACCGCTCACAATGAAAAGTCCAAGGGTTTTCACTCACCAGAAGGCGAGGCTTTATCCCTGGCTCGAAGTGACCAGCTCTTTTGCGTCGCACTGCAGCTCACAGAGCGTGAGACAGGGCTCCCTCGGCTGGAGTCAGCTCAGTCACGGCTGATCCAGGTTCTCTACCTCTTAACCACGTCGCGTATGAACCGCGCCTGGTATACTTTTGGAAATGCGCTTCAGATCATATCCGCGCTGGGTATGCACAGAAAAGCGGCCAAGAAGCGACATTTGACCCCGGGCAACTCGGACTACATCCAGGCGCAGTGTCGTATGCGGACGTTCTGGACCAGCTACGTTCTAGACAAGTACCTGGGCGTCATATTCGGCCGTCCGCGGCACTTCCACGATGATGACATTGACCAAGACTACCCGGATAGGATCGACGACGAGGACATGACTGCACAGGGACCCATTGAGAGATCGGAAGAGCATTCAGACTGTCACATTGACGCCCTGATATTCCACGCCAAGTAAGTGAGCCCCATGTCTAATCACACTCTCTACATTGATACTGACATGTGATAGAATCGCACAAATCATTGGAAACACATCAAGAGAAGTCTACTCAATAAAAGCAATTTCTGAACAAGAACGCGTCGCCGCCGCACACCGCCTTAGCAAAAAGATCCACGAATGGCGCGCCAGTCTCCCGCCTCACCTCGGCTCGATCCGCCCCTCGATGCTGATCCCAAGCTTCCGCCGCCAAGCAACAGTCCTCAAGCTGGCCTACTCCCACGCCATCATGCACGCGAATCGCCTCTTTCTCCTCGGCAACTTGAGCTCCGGCAGTGAGACGCAGATCCTAGAGTGCATTGGCGCAGCGAGGACGGTGCTCGAGACAGTAGACGGCATGGCCGCCGAGGGGCCCATCTTCCACGCCTTTTGGTGGACGCAGTACGTCACGTTTTGCGCTCTGCTGGTCACGTATGTATGGGATATCCAACAGAAGAGGCGAGGCATCACGCTCGAGGGCGAAGGAAAAACGAAGCATACTAAGCTCATGGACTTGGCTGAGCGGTGCCAGACGCATCTCGCGCACGCCACAGCGTCCAACTCCCCGAGCCGCCGGTACGCCATCATCCTGGAAGAGTTCAGAACAGAAGGTCTGGGCCAGATGTCACGGCAAACTCAGATGGCTTCACAGGCGCCGCGGGCTTCTGCACCTCGACTGGCTGCGCCGTCTGCAGATGCGCATGTACCGCCCCCGCAAGCCAATGGAGGAAACGGAGGAACATCGATGGCGACCGACGGATTCGACTTTAACCATGGGTATGGTGCCGAATCTGGCACCGTTGATCTGATGGATCAGAGCGATGCAGGGTTCCTTGGATCCAACTTGCTCGATGAGTGGCAGACGACCGATTGGCTAGACCTCGACTCTTCTGCTTTCGGCCCATACCTGGACATTGACTCAAATCCGTTAGCTTGGATGCCGGATATAGGAGGTTAGGTCTGAAGGCTTAAATACAGTCTATAATATTTGCATTGATCTATGTCTTCTAAATGGTGAACTTTGTCAAGTTCTCAGGGCCCGTCTCCTGAGCTACCCTCTTAACCTCCTCCTCTCCCAGCTCTTGGAAGATATCGAAACCCCATCTCGTCTGCCAGTTGAATCTCTTGTTTCTCTCCAGTCCATTCAACTGCGCAAATGCATCCGCCGGCAACTCCTGCACCTTGAAGTTGGACTCTATCCGGCTAGGGGTAACACTCTTGGGCAGAACAACAGTGCCGCGCTGCACACCCCAAGAAGCAAGCAACTGACCGCCGTCGATCCCGAGCTTCTTGCTCAGCTCACCCACAAGAGGGTCATCCACCGTCCTCGGCTCCCCTGTCTGGTTGTTGCCTAGAGGCGAGTAGGCGGCCAGCTGGATGCCCTTTGACTTGCAGAACTCGAGCAAGTCCGGCTGTTGGAGGTAGGGGTGCGCCTCGATCTGGTTGACGGCTGGCACCGTCTTGGTATTTGTCAGAAGGTCCTCGATGCGCTGCTTGGTGAAGTTGGAGACGCCAATGGCGCGGACCTTGCCGCTTTGGACCAGCTTCTCCATGGCTGCCCACGTTTCCGCGGGGTCAATGTCGGCCAGCTCGAAGACGCCGTTGGAGTCAATGGGGAACCACTTATCCGACGGCTTGAATGCTCTGTAGATGCGGTCAGTACATGCATTATTGTATTTCTCTTGCATTAAAGCAGGCACAAAGGAGCAAAGAGTGATACTTACACTGGCCAGTGCATCAGGAACAAATCGAGGTAATCCGTCCCCAAGTCCTTGAGCGTCTTGTCAACACCGGACTCAACGTCTTCGGGGGCGTGCTTGGTGTTCCAGAGCTTTCCCGTGACAAAGATCTCTGAGCGAGGCACGCCACTCTTGCGAATGCCCTCACCAACTTCCGCCTCGTTGCGGTAGATGGCGGCGCAGTCGATGTGGCGGTAGCCGGAGCGCAGGGCAGTCTCAACAGCACGCTCAACCTCGTGAGGTCCAGCTTGCCAGGTGCCGAATCCCACTGCAGGGATCTTTGCACCAGTGTTGAGAGTGAAGTGTGTTGTAAGAGGCATCTTGAGAGAGTGTCTTAGTGTATGTGCAAGGATCAATGGCGTTTATCCGTGGCTGGTATGAATGCAATTATTGAACTCTACACAACTCAAGCTGCAATTGTCAAATAATGTGCCCAGAACAGGTGACTTGATGGAAAGATCAAGTAGATAATAAATTGCTTTCAGCCACTCTGCCATTGTCACCGCGAGCAAGACTTGTGGCTCCCCAAAGACTCCATTACCATCAAGTCCGCAGTTGTGGTTCAGACTGGCGGATTCTTTTCCTTGGAGCTAGCCACACCCTTGTTGAATCCGTCCAAACCCGTCGGCGGAGCCCTCAAAATCCGTCACCTAACCCCAGTAATGAGCGGGGAAACGGATTCATGCCTCCCCCACCAACGGAGACCCTCCTCCAGGTTTCTGTCCCGGCTCGATCGCCACAAGCGTGGTCCACTCGGATAGGCGTCAGGCAGGGTATCAGCATGGCGGATGTTGAGGAATTCACATCACCGGCGTCGGAATAATGACGGTCTTGCCTGGGCCGCGGAGCCGTTCTCCATCTCTCAAAAGGGTGGCACATGAACCACTCATCAAGTCATCCACAACCTCAAAAGCAGGGTGGTCATCGATTCATCATCATCATCATCAACAATCCGGAGAACACTCATCGTCGACTTTGGATGAACCACCCGCAACATCATCCACCATGAGTCCCCCCTCAGTATACGGTCCCACAAGCGCGGCGCTTCCGAGCTCCAGCTTGGACGCAAATCCAATCATTGACTCTGCCACCGTGCAGGACTTGGACAATGACGATTCTACTCTCAAGACTGTGGACGAGCTGGTCCGCCGGCGCGCCCGGTCGAATCCCGACCAAGTCATTGTGTCTTACCCTTCATCGGGCATCACATATGTCGACTACACCATGAGGCAGCTTGACGTCTTTGCCTACCGTGTTGCAAAGTTCTACGAGCAGCGCATCCCTAGCCGCCTCAACTCAGATGAGAAGCCTACAACAGTGGCTGTCCTCGGGCCTTCCAACTTTGACTACCTCGTCACCATGCTGGCCTTGACCAAGCTTGGGCACACGACGCTATTCTTGTCAACAAGAATCTCACAGGAGGCCATTGAGTCTCTCATCAACGTTACAGGTGCCAAGTTCCTGCTGGCTGACAAGAGATACCTCGAAACGGCCGAGGGAGCCAAGCAGACTCTGCCTCATCTTGATGTCTTTGAGATTGCCGGCCAGTCAACATTTGACTTCCCTATCGAAGTCCACGCTGATACCCGTCTGGATTATGGTCGTGATCTCTCAGTTGAGACTAACAACCTGATCTACATCATTCACTCTAGTGGTAAGTTGGAATCTACCTATCCGCTGTTGAGCATGCCTGACCTTCATAGGCTCGACTGGCTTGCCCAAGCCCATTTACCAGACGCAAAAGTCGGCCATTCACAACTACTCCAGCAGCATGAACATGAAGGCCTTCATCACACTACCTCTATACCACAACCACGGCATCTGCAATCTGTACCGCGCCATCTACTGCGGAAAGCCCATCCACCTGTACAACGCGGATCTCCCGTTAACCAGAGAGCACCTCACAAGCATCATGCGCAAGCACAACTTCGAAATCTTCTACGGCGTGCCCTACGCGCTCAAGCTCCTCGCAGAGACAGACGAGGGCATGGACCTGCTCCGCCAGCTCAAGATCGTCATGTACGGCGGTTCCGCTTGCCCCGACGACCTCGGCGACACCCTCGTCAACAACGGCGTCAACCTCGTCGGCCACTATGGCGCGACTGAGGTCGGTCAGCTGATGACGTCCTTCCGCCCTCCCAACGATAAGGTCTGGAACTATGTTCGCGAGCACGAGAAGCTCGCGCCGTACCTCAAGTGGATTCCTCGCGGCCCGAATCTGTTTGAGTGCTGCGTCCTGCCCGGCTGGCCTGCCAAGGTGGCCACGAACCAAGAGGATGGATCATACTGCACAAAGGATCTGTTCGAGCCTCACCCGACGATCCCCAAGGCCTGGAAGTACATTGCTAGACTCGATGACACCATTGCGCTTGTCAACGGCGAGAAGTTCAACCCTGTCCACATGGAGGGCACCATCCGCTCCAACAAGAACATCACCGAGTGCGTCATCTTCGGTGTCGGTCGCCCGTCTCTCGGCGCCCTCATCGTTCCAGCTCCGGCGCTGGCTGGCAAGAGCAATGACGAGATTCTCGAGATTGTTTGGCCCGTGGTTGAGAGCGCGAGCAAGTCCGTTGAGGCTTATGCCCGTGTCTCAAAGAACATGATCAAGCTTCTCCCTTACGACTGCGAGTACCCCAGGACCGACAAGGGCAGCGTCATCCGCCAGGCCTTTTACAAGCGGTACGCCAAGGACATTGACGAGGTCTACGACAACGCGGACGCAGCCAGCGGCGACTTGAAGAAGTTCAGCGTCCCCGAGCTGCAAGATTTCATCCGCCAGGGCCTTGTCCAGACACTCTCCAAGAAGGTTCAGTTGGATGACGATACCGACTTCTTCTCACTTGGTCTTGATTCCCTGCAGGCTATCCAGATGCGCTCCGATATCCTGAGGACAGTCGACATTGGCGACAACAAGCTCGGCCAGACTGTCGTGTTCGACCATCCATCGATCAACAAGTTGAGCGCCTACCTCTACAGTCTCGGTACTGGAGAGGGTGTTCAGGCCGACGTTCCCATCGAGAGCGAGATGCAAGAGCTTATTGACAAGTACGGCAACTTCGGTCCTATCGAGTCGGCTCCTAGGTCCTCAGTCGTAAGTTGATGTCCCAAGCAACAAGTCTCTAGCATCTCTGTACTAACCTTGTCATAGGCCGTCACCGGCGCAACTGGCTCTCTCGGAGCTCACATCGTCGCCAAGCTTGCCGCCGACCCGACCATCAAGACCATCTATTGCTTTACCCGCGCCAGCTCCGACGCCGACGCAGCCCGCCGCGTCAAGAGCTCCCTCATCCAGCGCAGACTCTACCACGCTTTGCCCGCCTCCTCCCGCAGAAAGCTCGTTGCGCTGTCCACTGACCTCGCCGATGCCCAGCTCGGTCTCTCCGACGACCTGTACCGCCAGGTCAAGCAGGATCTCCGCCTCGTCATCCACGCCGCGTGGTCCGTCAACTTCAACATGCGCCTCTCGAGTTTCGCAAAGGGCAACATTGCTGGCGTCAACCACCTCATCGCCCTGTGCAAGGCTGCCGGCGACGTCGAGACCGGAGCACCTTCCCCTGCCTCGTTCAACTTCTGTTCTTCCGTCAGCACCGTCGCGCGCGCGACGACGATCCCCGTCCCCGAGTCCGTCCCGGATCTCGAATGGGCCCAGGGCATGGGATACGCCCAGTCAAAGGTCGTCGCCGAGCATCTCTGCGCCAAGGCGACCAAGGCCGGAATCAAGTCCCGCGTCCTGCGCATCGGCCAGATCGTGGCGGACACTCAGCACGGCGTCTGGAACGCAACGGAGGCCATCCCCCTCATGCTCCAAACAGCCATCACCGTCGGCGCTCTGCCCAAGCTCCAAGAGACACCCTCCTGGCTACCCGTAGACACCGTCGCGCAGGGCGTCATCGACATCTCCCTCTCCGACGCAGACGGCGTCTTCACCAACGTCGCGAACCCCAAGATGTTCAGCTGGACCGACGATCTTCTCCCCGCACTCAAGGCCGCGGGTCTCGAGTTCGAAGAGGTCGAGCCCAAGGAGTGGATCCGTCGCCTGCGCGCCTCGAACCCGGATCCCGCCGCCAACCCGCCCATCAAGCTCGTCGACTTCTTCGCGTCAAAGTACGACAAGGACGAGTTCTCACCGTCCAAGACGTACGTCACCGACAACGCCTGCTCTCTCTCACCCGCGCTCGCTCAAGCGCCCGTGTTGGATCAGAAGCTTGTCGACAACTTTGTCCGATACTTCAAGGCCAACCACTGGGTCAAGAAGAACGAGGGCTCAGCCAAGACGGTCGTCATGGTTGCGGGCCCTTGCGGCAGCGGAAAGTCTACCCTGGCTACCTCTCTGGCCTCCTCGCTTAAGGCACCCTTCATCGAAGGCGACTCCTTGCACTCCAAGGCATCAATCGAGAAGATGGGTAGCAATGTCGCCTTGACCGACGAGGATCGGTCTCTATGGCTTAGCCGCATTGGCAAGAGAGCATCTGAAGCCCTCGGAGATCTGGGCTACGACTCTGTCGTTGTCAGCTGCTCAGCTCTGAGGAAGTCGTATCGCGACACCCTTCGAAGCGTCTTTGCTGAGCAGGAGGGCGGCAAGGTTGTCTTCCTGGACCTCCAGGCCAGCCCCGAGACGCTTGTGCAAAGGATGAATCAGCGCAAGGGTCACTACATGCTGGCGAGCATGGTCGAGGGGCAGGTTGAGGTGTATGAGGCTGCGGGTGTCGCGGAGTTGGATATCCTCCCCGTCGAGGCTGAGGGCACGCCGGAAGAAGTGTTTGAAGAGGCCAAGTGGTTGCTTGAACAGATTGGACTGAACTGAATTATTGCTAGATAAAGCATTATAAGGGCATATTATTGGCGTTAAGGATAATAGGTGCTAGGGTACATGTAGTCATGAGAATTTCTTTATGCGTTTGAATAACAAATTTGGTATAACCTCAGATTTCCCTCTGTCACACCTGATTGCCCCTTCCTTGTCTTAAATCATGATGTTGAATCAGTCAGTCGTAAGCACATCACCTAATTTCTTGCTACAGCATAATCGCCATCCTCCTCGATCCCGGTGCATGACCACTCTCGAGTTGTCGTTCCTGTCTTCTGAGCCGTTGACGGTGTATGTGAAATATGCTGATGCGCCGATACACGAATGAATCTTTTCGTTTAATCTCCCATGCGGCGTGTTCCAAAGTAATTGCCCTTTGCCGATGGAGGGGCAATCTGAGCAGCCCATCCCCGTGGGGCAGATCCAATGTCGGAGTTGCGTGCAGTGATGACAGAGGTACAGCCCTTGACTGCTGATGTCCTTGAGAATGATGAAGAGGAAGTTGTTGAGTCTCTTGTCGCTTGTCCTTAGTTTTGGAAGAGTCGTCTGGGACAGGAGACCGTAAAGAGATTTGCAGGTAAGGGCCAGACACATGGCGGACTCCGTGGGGAGGTGCGAGGCTATTTCGAGCATAATGTCGGGTATTTGCCGAAGAAGAATCGGTAGATCGGCCAAGCATACTTTCTTTGTGCCTGAGAGCTTTTCTATTGGTGTCATGTCTGACATCGCGACGACACCTGCGCGGGCTGGTTGAAGGTCACGATGAGGAGTGGTTACCCTTGCTCGTGCCGGAATACGAGGTCGTGGGGATGGCCGTTATGAGCCTTCAGGCACGGCCGTTGAAGGAGCCGACTTCTGGAACGATTGGGTCTGTGGTTCTTTGTCGATGATGGCGTGTCATGACCAAATGCTTTGACTCGAACAGCGGCTAGGACTAGGCCAGAACGCACTTAGAGGGTCAAAGTTTTGCGGCTACCATCTCTTCGGGACAAGACACAAAGGCCATCGGAAATGAACAGTCTAATCGCAATCTTGACTAGAAATTTCTCCAAGACGCGTTCCAAAGGCTCAAGTCGCGCTGCTTTTTAGACACGTGAGACGTGCATGTCCTCCTATCACCATGATGATAGTCTAGTTTTGGGGGCCTCCCTCTCTTCGATTCTCCCCTCCTTGTACCAATCTCCTTTCAAAGTATTCGTTGTTCTCTCTCACACATATCGCTCTTTGGCTTCTGAACATCTTGTAGGCATTTTGAGGCCACCACATTTGGCAGTGAATTGCAGCCTCCGCGATTGAGATTTATGTCCAGGTGGAATCGCCATATCATCTCAGCCTCAAGTATGACTAGAAATATCTGTCAACTATCTTGAGAAGCCTGAATTTCTCTGATGGAGCCGCAGGCTGTTCTAAAGAGAAGTGTGCGCAATCTCCGATGGATCCGAAGTCCCAGCTATTACAAAATGAGAGATCATAAGCATACAACATGAACCCGGTGGAGGAAGTATCACTAAGATTTATTCCAACTGTAGAAGGTTTGGGGGTTCTCTCACGCGATGGTCAATCTGATTTCGAATGGTAGTGACCGCCGCCGCAGGTTTGATGCTTACAAGTGAAGGTGTTCAGAAAAAGTGGCAACGGAAACAAAATAGCTCCGACTCTTCCACAGTCATAATACATCCGAGGCGGCTTAAGGTCACTCGATATTGGGCCAAGACTCGGAAGCAGATTGAAGGATTGAAATTTTCTGCAAACGTAGTTTGATGTTTTATAAATTCATGAGCGCCGGATCTCCAAGGTGGGAGCATTTAGTGCATCCAAGGAAAATTCATCAAAGTCTTTGGCTCTTCTACCATCACCAAACGCAGCAACACCGTCATGTTCAACAAGATCATCACCGCAGTCGCTCTATCAGGAGTGTTTGGGAAAGCTGCTGCGTCATGCGCCTGCGACCTCAAAGTCGAAAGCTATATCAGCCCAGGGTTCTCGTTGGATGTTGTGTCGTCTCTGATCATTGGCTCTCAAGCCGCTGCGATCATTGACTTGCCTCTTGCAGTTGCCGACGCGGAAACCCTGGCTCAATGGGTTAAGAACACAACTGACAAGCCTCTTGTGGCGGCTTTCACAACGCATAATCACCCCGATCACTATCTGAGCGGCAAAGCATTCCTTCAGCACTTCCCCGAGGCCAAGCACTACGCCACGCCAGAGACGGTGCATGGGATCCAGAACGAGGCTATTAACAAAGTGAGCATTCTTGTTGACGTTTTGAGAAGCAATGGTAATAACAGAGTTCTAGACTGAATTCTGGTCTGCCGCTTATGGCCCCGGCATTATCGCCCCCGTCCCCGCGATTCCGACTGCCTACAACTTCTCCTTCTTCACCCTTCCAGGCGACGAAAAGTGCCCGATCGAGATACTCAAGAACATTGGCGGCGATACTATTGATCTATCTTCATTCTGGATTCCGTCTATCAAGACACTAATCGCAGGCGACGTCGTCTACGACCACCAGATGCATGCCTGGCTCGCCGACCTTCTTACGCCCGCCCTCACCGAGTCTTGGCTCACGACCCTCGACTTCATCACGGGCCTCAGGCCTAGTCTTGTCATACCGGGACACGCTCTAGTGTCCACTACCTTCAGTGCGCTCGCTGATGTCGATCATACAAGGGATTATGTTTCTTTCTTCCAGGAGAACATCGAAGCCAAGGGCCCCGACTTTTACACCCCGCGGGAAATTTCGAGCATGGTGGAGGCTGCTTTCCCTGGCTTGACAAACTTGACGTCTTCGACTACTTCGGCTACCTTGCTCAACATCACGTCGGAGAACTTTGGCCGAGGTGGACAAAGACAAATACACTACTTCGACTTAACTGTGTATAACGATACGGATGTCTTGGATGGATGGCGCTTGTGATGGTTCGTTAAAGTGGACGACGTCTAAAGAAATACTAGTTCTTACCCTAATTCTACCGGATAAAAGGTGTTTTGAGAATACGATTATAGCTTTGACCTGCAACTGAATTTTCAACAAGAGGTTTATAATCGTCTCAACCCGGTCCCTTCCTACATGACTGATCTTAATCATGAAAGAGGAACTAGTAGGGGTATGAGCCAATGGATGGTAGTCGGGACTGAAAATAGGCCGGATGACAAGGATGTGTATATGTAGGTAGACAAGTTGTATAGTCCTCTTCCCAACAGGTTCAAATGGTTTCATTCGACTCCTACTGTTCCAAACCGGAAAAGCACAACAATATATCAACATTGACAAGGGGAAAACCGAGTTGACCGACGAAAAAACCCCTAGTCTACAACACTCCAGTCCTCGACATGAGCCACGTTCAGGCCCAAACATTGTTCCAAACAAGATACAGGTACGCGCCACTTCTCTTATGATTGATATCTGTACTTATTCCGTCCCATCCAGCCGCGCGGGCATCATCGAGGGAAACAGAGCCGTTGGGAGATCTCCATAGCTGTACTTCACTGATCCTGGTAGGCATGGTCAAATCTCGCGACGTGACCACATATCGGTAGTCGCCGCCAGCTCCCTGAGCCATGTCCCCTCCGCATGCCCGGTCGTCGTCGCCCCTGATCTCAATGCTTAATCCAGTGATGGCGCGTGATGGATCCGTAGTAAAAGATTTTACGACGTAAGTATACTTTCCGCCGAAACCATTGTTACAATCTGGGCTACCCAGATCTCCACTGTTGTCCACGCAAGTGCCAGTCGGGAAGAAATCCGAGTCGTCAGACGCCTCAATTCTGAGAGCTGAGACGTATTTTTGCGGGGGAGGGGGGGAATTCGCAGGAATGGCGTTCCCGTGTACGTTGTTGTTGGTAGCCATAGCTAGCGTTACTTAAAATGGCCTTTGAAGTAAATTGACTGCTTGGAGATATTGCAGTGACTATGAGGGCGGATAGAGAAGATGATATATTAGATCAAGTGAAGGTCTCAGAACAAAAGTAAGTCGTGCTCCGCCCTTAAAAGGTGTTTGGGCAACCCTGTAGTCTTCGAACCCCGTAAATTACGCTCTTCTGTGAAGTCTCAGAACATGCTGCGGCGAGCTGAAAGAACCCTAGTCATAACCGCATCAACGCCGGTTTTCAAAAGTCTAGAACTGCTAGTGAGTGGTGGGCACGGACGTTCGGTTCCAGACGAATCAGGTGTTTCGAAACAATCGAACTATTTAACTGTGAACCATTTGACTGTAAACGAGAGATTGATGCCGTTTTCAGAAGGGTCTGGACTATTGTCCCGTGGCTGTATGCTACCTGAATACTCTCAGCACATAGGTGGATGAAGAATGCCGCACAGGGGTTTCCGCTTGTGGAATAGCCAACTAAATGCATTTATGACCTCTCTTTAGATCAAGTGCTAATGCGGGTTCAACTCAGCTGAGACTCTCGATAATTTGTGCGGCTGAGGGAACGACCATGCCAGAAACGAATTCGGATGCATGATGCTACCTTACGATGGCGGTGAGCTAGGTAGCTGAACCCCATCCCTCTTTTTCTCTCACAGTCGGATTGGCGCCTATTATCTCATTGAAATGCGAGATATCCCTTTCTTCGTCGAGAGGGATATCCCAATTGCACAGGCAGAAAAGCGATAGCGGTATTACGACCAGACAACAGAATGATAAGTGAGGCAGCTCGAGAGGGGAGGACCGAGCTACCTTACAGTCAGGACAATCACGCATTCTTTCTATTTCTGAAGGGAATCGGATGCAAGTCTGAAAGGTTCTCACTGAAGCAAGGTGATAAGGACAATGAAGCATCCCCTCGCCTCCGCCCTGATAGCTTTGGTCCCAGTGCATCTTCAACTGCTGATCAAAACCTCCTATCATTCATAATAGCGTCTACTGTCACGCAGTAGCCGATCAATCTGTGATTGCATAAGGTGAAATGCCCACGAACCCATGACTACGCAGGCAAGCCGCCATGACATGAACCTGTTGGCAATGAGATGGTGGAGGTGCCAAGTCATGTCTCACAGTCTCGGCTATGAGCTCGTGTCTATTTAGAATTAGTATTCTGCTTCTCAGAGGGTGACTTGAAGGCGGCACTTTGCTGGGTGAGCTGGTCGTAAACGAGGCATTACTCTCATGACCTATGGTGTCATTAGCTACGGGAGCAGCAAGAGCGTGTCAAGGTCCGAAGTCTCGGACATCGCTAAGTCGAGTACTTCAATAATAAGATTGCAAAACGAACCCAACTAGAATGAATGTTGTTATTCTTGAATTGAAATCTGCAGCACTTTCTTGTTCATTAGCGGAGTTTTCATGATACTCGAAAAGATGCTCTTGAATCTTTTAGTTTTAATGATATTTATAAACAAACAGTTTTTCTTTTCCTTTTTAGAAAAAGAAAGAATGAGAAAAATATTTTCTCGACTTTAGTCACGTAACTGTGATTTCATGTCTATCGTGTAGCGGATAGAGAAGTGCACATTCCTCATAGTCCTTGAAGAATAGTAGCATTATTGTAGCGCACATAGCATCATGAGATAACAAGAAGAGTACACATTCACTCAGCGCTCGAGCATATGAACCTGTTCACCTTTAAAGCAATCGGATTTACCTAGACACATATGAGACAGAGATATTTGAGGTATGGGGTGAAGATAGGAAAGTACTAGTTTAAGCGTGCAAGGTGTCCTTGAAACTTTTCCTTTCGGTATGCCGACACTCGAGAAGACGGCACCTCTAAGGCTTCAAGCAGCCACTAAGGTAGCGTCAATGAAGGATGCGAAGATGTCTGCTCAGTATTTTCAACCACATCTTCATGTTAAAGTTCAGCTCCACAGATAAAAGCGGTCATTCATATCTGTTGAGACCTCAAGGTTCTCTAATGGATCACTTTAACTTGATCCCGCTTACCTTAGGCTCTCCATCTACAACGATTCACATACTGACTGACAGCCTTCGGACTCAACTTCACATATTTGCATTCGACACTCGATCGCTTGAATCCATCAAAATGCGCTTCCATCAAGTACAAGCTCTCATAGTTGCTTCCTTGGCCGTTTTGGTATGCCCAAGATTGCAGGGCTACTCCATGATTTATTACTAACATGATATTAGGCTTATGGATCAGCAACTACCAACCTGGCCCCTATTGAAGGGTATGAGATTATCATCCCAGAATGGGAGTTTCAAGATGATATAAGCCCGAGAACCGAGAAAGTCGTTCTGAATGGAACAGTCCAGGAGGTGTTGGCGGATCTTCGCTCCTACGACTCTCTGTACGCGCAGGTCTTGGGCTCTGAATCGGGTTCGACTACCACCTCTTCAGCCTTAGAGGAGCCGAACAAGTTCGATCTTTCGCATGTCGTCTGTCATAAGTTCCCCTTGGGCTCAGTCCCCGTTGTAAAAGAAGGCATCAACGATCTCAAACGCATCCGGCACAGAAGGGCTAAACTCGAGGTTGGCCGGGGAAAGTGCGCTCTTATGAGTTGCGAATTCAAAACTGCCATCTGGTGGTGTAATGACGTGAGTCTGAAATCAAGAATGACACTCTCCGCGCAAAGCTGAGACGACCTTTTACAGGACGACAATCCAAAGACCATGAGAACATTCGACGGCATTGCACAGGGGGCTGAGAAGGTCTTGCAAACTTGCGCGAAGAGGAACTCACCTAACGTATTGCGATCCTCGGGACAGGCATTCGACAAGATGAAGTGGAGCGTTGTAGTGCGCGGTGAGAATTGCTAATAATGAGGGAGGATATGTAACTACGGGCTTTCAGATGGACTTAACGAATATCATCAACGGATACAGCTTGCAAATGCAAGTGTGTTTGACAAAAATATGACCTTCTCTCCAATCTACTCATATTTCCTGTATTTCGCGCTTGTTGCCATAGTCGGCACAGTTGTGGAATTGATTAGTATATTACTTCACAAAGTATTCTAGAATCCGCTGAGAGGTCTCATGATGTCGAGGGTCGGATGCAAATTGCTTCCGGCGGCTCACCAAAGCAAGATAAAATCGGAACCAAAATGAATAGTCTCACAAACAGATTTTTGCCATGTTTGAAATCGATATCGCCATGTGAACTAAGATAAATTGTACAAGAGAGTAGTGTCCCCTTGTCTGGGAGGTTGGAGTTGCATCAAAAGAGGTGCTGCAAGCAAACGAAGAACTTTCACAACAACAACACCAAAGCATGGACATTCTACAGCAAATTCTCATCCACCTACTGGACGAAGCGGACTCGGGCACTGACTCAGATCATGACGACTGCGATCACGGCCATCATCACCACCATCTCCGTCATATTAAGGACCAACTGGACGATTTGGAGCCCCCTACACATCTACAATTGCTTCACCAATTACTCTGTGTCCGCACACCGGACCCACCTCTCCCGGAAGACATTCTGATCGAGATAGACTCAGTCCTACAGCAGCAGGCGTCTCATCGTGTTCTGACATTAGCTGGTTCTATTCAACCGACGATAACACTCAAACGAGCGAACCAAAAGAGCGTTAGAGTTACGCTCTGGCAAGGTGACATCACGACTCTCACCGGCATCACTGCAATTACCAATGCCGCAAACAGCCAGGGCCTCGGGTGCTTCCAGCCACCACATCGCTGCATAGACAATGTCATTCACGCTGCTGCCGGCCCCCGGCTACGGAACGAGTGCTACCGGGTCATGAACGAAAGAGGCCGTGAACTCGGACCGGGCGAAGCGATAGTCACAGACGCGTATTGCCTACCAGCGAAGCATGTGGTGCATACAGTCGGGCCGCAACTGCAACGCGGCTCAAAACCAACGACAAACGAGACTCTCCAGCTCGCCCAATGCTATCGCAGCGTTCTTGACGCAGTCGAACCGCTGCCCGCGACGCCGGATGGCAGGAAGATTGTCGCGTTATGCGGCATCTCGACCGGCTTGTTTGCCTATCCGGCGCGAGATGCAGCAGCCGTGGCGGTCAGCGCGGTCGCAGATTGGCTCGAGCACCACGAGGATACGTCCATCACCGATATCATCTTCAACACCTTCACGGACGCAGATCATGCCGTCTACCAGGAGATCCTGGCCTCTCCCCCGCATACTTCATGGATGGGGCGGGCAGCGCCGACTTTTACTCCGCCGGCAAGTGCGAATCATCCGCCGCTGATCCAGTGCGACTCGCTGGACCGGGCCAGGCAGTGGCTGGACGCGGCTGACGCAGTCATTGTGAGCGCCGGTGCCGGTCTCTCTGCTTCCGTTGGGCTGGATTACACTTCGTCGGCCCTGTTTGCCAAGAACTTTCCCGGTTTCTTGAAGTATGGGCTGCGAACTCTGTACAGCGTCTTTGGCTTCAATTCCTGGCCAACGGAACAGGTTCGCTGGGGATACTACTTCACACACTTGGCGATGGTCACATCTTGGCCAAAATCCGGAATGTACCGAACGCTCATTTCATGGCTTGAGAGGTTTGGGGAAAACGCGCATGTGAGGACGTCTAACGCCGATGGTCTCTTTATCGCCAACGGGTTATCTCCAGAGAGACTTTCTACCCCTCAAGGATCGTATTCGGTTTTCCAGTGCCTGGCCAATTGCCGACCTGAGGCGACAATGGCATCGGCACCTTTAGTTACAGATGCGCAGGCGTTCTTGGACCCAGTATCTCAAATATTGACAGAACCGAGCAAGGTGCCCCTTTGCAAGTTCTGCAACGGCAAAATGAACATCTGCGTGAGGGCAGGGCACTGGTTCAACGAGAAACCCTTTGAGAATGGGGAGAAGAGATGGAAGCAGTTCCGCCGGGACGTGGTGCATCGTGAGGAAAGGACGACAGTGATCCTAGAGCTTGGCGTAGGGATGTCGACGCCGGGGGTCTTGAGATGGCCCAACGAGGATCTCGTCATGAGAGGCGGGGGAAGAGTGAAGCTTGTGAGGGTGGGCAAGGGGCCTGAGACGGCCGTCCCATGGGATTTGGAGGCAGATGGGTTGGCGACAAGTATAGATGGCGAGATCTCAGCGGTGGTGAGCGAACTGCTCGCGGCACGAGCGTAGTTGAGATGGGGGCAGTCAAAGGATTGGTGCCTGCTTCTGAGAAAACTTCGGTCGATGGAGTAGGGCGTCTCATGCCGAGCATCAGATATTAGGATGAAGGTAATCGATGAGAGTCTATTCCCGAAAAGGTTTGACTCAGGAGCATCTCAAAGACTACAGGCTGAAGAATCTCAATTTTCCAAATGTCAGAAACGTGCCTCGCAAAATAGAAACCGTGGACCTGCATTTCCGCCACTTGTAGAGAATGCTAAACCACTCATGACGAGGGATATACGATGAGTACGATTCGTCTCTTGCGCGATGCATGAACTCTCGACTAACGACTTTGGGTGAAGACTTCGCCAAACACAAGCTTTCACAGCTGGAGCCATCCGAGAGGATCGGAGAGAGTTGCCCTCACAGGCTTTCTTCCGTGCTGCGATGGTCATGACTAGCCCCCTGCTATGCCTCTCTGCCCTACGTAAAGTATGTTCTTGGCATGTAATGCAACCTCGCGTAGGTAGTCCTGGCTGTACTACGTACCTTACGTATGTACGTAGTAGCCTTGCATCTTTACGCATCTTCTTGCCATCCATCCCACCGGACCATAGGATTCCCATACCTACCGCCTGGCACCCGAGTACTGCAGGCAAGGCTCGGGGTAGGGCGAGTTTTGAGGTGTCTTGGCAGCTTGGCAGCGAAGATCAAACTCGCGTGCGGCGTCAGGGGCGCGTCAGGTCTCGTGCGCACAGCGGGCCTGGCGACTCGCACCAGGCCTTACTGTGGCTGAGGAATTCCCCCCTTTTACACTATGCGCCGTATTGCGATTGGTTTGCCAGATGATGATTGATCTACGCAAGCATCGCGGGCGCGGGAATGCAAATCATTGTGGTTCTTATGAAAGAGGGAAATCATTGCGGCGAAGGCTTAGCTAGCGGGGGGGCCTCACGGGAAAGCAGATCCACCACGGAAGACGGAATCGGCCGAGAGAGTGGGACCGCCCAGCCGGTTCTCGGCTCCGAGCCGGGAGAAGGCGAAAAATCCAAGAATTCAAGAAGAGGCCTGAGCAAATGCCAGTGCTACGCAAGGCGGCAAAGAAGCTCCGTCTTGACAAGCTTTACAGCACACGACTAAACACAACTAAAGAGGAGTCTTGGAAGGCTCAATTGCCCGTGAGGCTGCCTGAAAGTGTGTCGATGTTCTAACTATCAAAACTTGACATGACCCTTCTCGGTTTCTGCATCAGCCGGACCTCCCGACTGCTCTTCCAAGTATGAATGACTGGGATCGGACCGTGGGACCTTACGCAGTAGAATGTGCACCTCATGGCATAGAGGCGACTCTTGCCCACAAACCAGAATAGCAAACGGGCGTCTTCTGTGTGTCCCCATGCTTCCCAATGCGATCATATCCTGGGAGGCAAGCCCCCGGTCCCAGACTCCCAGTAGAAACCCGATTTCGCCATCGTGTTTCTGACACAACTCTTTTTGCCAAGCTTATTTTTTCTCCGCGCTTCTATTCGAGCGGGGTGGACCAGTTCCTGTTCCAGGTATGCTGCGGTGAAGCACGGACAACACGAATCACAGCTGGCGACTCAGCCAGCCGCGCCCCCTTCTCCATGGGTCTCCATGGATTGGCTGAGGCTCTCGAGTCCTAGCTGCGTGAGCTGCGAGTGTGGTACTGGCGATGGTCGTGTCTGCAGTGTCTGCCAGATCCAAGCGCAACGGCCCCCCTGTATCAACTTGCCCCTCAGTTCCCTGTCAGGACGTCTAGAACTGCCATGCTTGCATCGGAGCAAAAGGCAACCGATACTCCCTGCCCAGGTCTCCCCCATAATGAAGCCCACCTATTGCCCCTGGCCACCCCCGGATCTTTCAAAGTGTTCATGTGAACAGGGCCACATTCACCTCGCCTGGCCCTGGAACTGATTTTCCCCAGGGTTGATGGGTGATCCACAGAAACGAGAAACGCCTGGCGGTGCAACGACAGTCCTGGAAACCACCGGCGGCTCATGCGATAGTCTCCTAGGAATCGTGCCCGGCTGGCAGTATTGATTCACAATGATCAGCGAAACGATGCGCCCCTCCTGCCTCCTTTGCCATGTCAACGGCGATCAAATCCCCCAGCCTCCTCCCGGGGCTGGAGGCCTTCATGCCTCCGTACCCCCGTACTCCGTGCTCCTGGCGGGCCACCTCCTTGTTTCCCCTTCCCACCACTTCAACCTATTCGGAGTGGTGCGAATGCTACTTTGTGTGGATACTTCGGGCAGCCGAGTCAAGTCTAAATCCAAAAAGACCAATGAGACTGGGCAGCCCGCCAAAGGGCAGAGACAAGCAAACGGGAGTGGTGAAGCTTGCCCTGGCGTACCTGGCACTAAGCGCTAGCTCCCGCGGTGCCCAGCTGAGAATGATGCATAGCATCGCTGCGTTCTGCAGGGACTTCGCCTCTCTCAGCCCGTTAGTGATTACTATCCGCCTCTGTCCCATTTCGGTATTCCATCCGTAAAACACCAATATGCAGAGGGTGGCATTGAGCACCGGTGCCAGGCACGACACTACGGGCATGGCTAAGCCCAACATGACATCTCAACTTCTCGTCGTTTGCGTATCCACTAATTATCGTCCGCTGTCCAAGTTCACACAGCAAGTTGCAACGGGGTGGGCTTTAGGGGCCTTTGTTCCAGAAGATTGAGATGATAGCCGTCAGAGATCTCTGCGTCTCTCTCTATTCTCTGGTTCCCAGTCGCTCACGATTACGCTTCCACTATGGACGAACGTTCCCAATGGCCGAGCGCAGGTTCGAGACTTGAAATCGCGCCGCAGGGCAAGCATCACCTCTGTTGAGTCGCCCTTCCACAGACTCTCCGCACGGCCCCTCGTGTCTCGCCAACGTGCGGTACCAACCAAACCAAACCAGTCCAACCAAAACGGGCGAGGCAGAGACAGGTCTGGTGTGTTTGATCTGGGCTATTCTCTCCCGTGCCCTGGAATAATACGGGCGTGGCGCAGATCCTGGAACATCATCTTCCCTCCCAGGCACACCAGGGATGTGCGACAAACGTTTTCTGATCTGCGACAGTGTTTCTTCCCCTCCCTGCCCTCTTCGAGGAGGGGGGGGGGACAACGCGATCGCGATGCGATTGGCTCTTCAACAAGGTTCGAACCCTTGTCGGCTCCCACACAGAGCCTCCCTTCGACGATCCGAATCGGAAAGGGCCCAGTTTCGAACTTGTCTCCATCACGAGATGCGGTCGTTCTCGCCGGCGTTTGGCCTCATCTTTTTCTCTCCCACTCTACAGTCTAAACAATATGCTTGATGTTGGGGCTGGTGTCGGTTCCAAGGGTTGCAAGGCACCAGACGGTATGTGGATCGTGCAGGCGACGTAGGAGATATTCTGCTAAGTTTGCCTTTCATGTGCTGGGGGGCGTAATGTAGAGTATCGACTCAACATCGTGAAATGTCGAGTACAAAAGCAACTGATTTCCTCCCAACCTTTTCTCGTCTCTTCTCATCATCAGCATCAACATCTTCAGCTTTTCAGCAGTCTCTTCTCTCTTTCGGTTCTAATACCTCCTCCGGCAGGATACTACTCGTTTACACTCCTCTGGCAAGGAGCACCATCTCATTCATCTCTTAACTACTAGTCAAAATGTCTCTCAAGACCGTCGCTGCTACTGCTATCCTTGCCGCCGCCAACTTGGTGGCTGGCCACGGTGCCATCATCGGTGCTACCGGCGAGCTCGGTGGCACTGGCATGGCCCTCGGTGTTGATCTCAGCACTCCTCGTGACGGAACCCGTCGCGACCCCTTCCAGGCCGATTCCACCCGCTTCAAGGGTGAGGCCGCCGACACCTTCGGCGAGACCGTCGGTGCTGGCACCAACGACCTGGAGACTGGCACCAAGGCCATCATGGCCGCCACTGGCGACCAGCTTCCCCAGATCCGTGCCGGTGGCACCATCGACATGACCGTCCACCAGGTCAACGGTGACGGCGGTGGCCCCTACGACTGCATGATCAACGGTGATGCCACTGGTACCTCCTGGACCAACATCAACGTCCCCGTCACCGTTCCCGGCCAGAACTCCCGCAACCGCGTAAGTCACTTCATCCTACCACAGAAAGCACTCGAGACTAATAGTCATAGGCTGGTGCCATGACCGACTTCCCCATCAAGGCCGAGATCCCCGCTGGCCAGACTTGCACTGGTACCGTCGCCGGCCAGAACAACGTCTGCTTGGTCCGTTGCCAGAACGCCGCTCGCGCCGGCCCCTTCGGTGGTGTCGTCCCCGTCCAGATGGCTCAGGCCGGCAACACCCCCGCCGCCGCTCGCCGCAACCTCGCTCGCGCTGTTGCTGAGTCTGACCGCCAGTTCAAGCGCATGATGAAGCGCGCCATGGCCATCGAGGCCACCGACTTCGAGGACGAGGAGTAATTTAGTCATTCCTTTTGCACATATTCTAAGATTGAAAGGGTGGAGTGGTCTTTGAGGGATTACATGTAACAGTACTGGATTACTGATAATGAGACACGACTGCCTGCTCTAGCTGGAGTATGGTCCTTCTACTTTTTTGCGCCCTTTCGCTCTCATCGTGACTTTTCCCTGTGACCGAAAATACCCTACCTATCAAACTTACTCCCGTCTCCTCTCTTGTGATGAAGACGAAAGGAACAGGCGGAAAATGTCAAGACCACAGCTTGTGGTCGGATGAGGATTATGCAGGGAAACGTATCCCAACACTCTGTCTCAAAATCGTCGCGCGCAAAACCTACCCCTGAAAGTAAGACACTCGTCAACTTTGCAACAAGACGACTTCCAAACTCTCATAACTCTTCTAGTGCGCGAGCGCTGCCTGCGCCGGACGAAAGACCGGCAGCACTTGACGATTCCAATAATCTTGGAACGTGAAACGAAACAATGGTAAAGCTGGTTCACGGGCCACACACCACTTCAAAAACTCAAAGCGTCTTTAAGAAAGAAAAGAAAAATGGGTGGGTTGAAACGGCCTCTTGCTTCTTCAGACGAAGACTCACCCAGGTACCAGGCTTAAAGTTTGTGGTTCCTGGAGAAGCAACCCACAACCTGGGGGCCATCTCGTCATATCGGCATCTATATCCGACTTTTACCGGTCTATCACATAAGCGCAAAAGTAAGTGATCATCGGCTGTTCTTTAGAATGTGGGCTTGCAGATCTTCTGTCCCAGATGTTTCGCAGCCAGGCATGCATTCCATGGCGATGGGAAGACAGTTCAACGGTAAAGTCTAACGACTTCATTGTACCAGTATGCTGACGAGAAGTCAGTCATCAAGGCGAGTTGCAAAAATTCTGCACCGTGACGAGATGGAGGTGCGATGGATGATGAGTGGTGGCAAGGGCGCGCTATGGCCGTCTTAATCGATCTAGCCTTTGTTTGAAGAAGTATTTACCGACGTGTAAAAGGTAGGAAAAAAGAGCTTTCAATGATTAACTACGGCTAGATTAAGAGCCTATAACTACAACTTCGACGGGCGCAAAGTTAGCAGTCACATATCTCAGATGGCGTCCAGCCTAGAAGATGTCATGGCGCATGCCGGTGGCTGCCTCAATGTATTGCTTTCCAAGTAGTGACCGTCACGTATCTAAGTACGCTCCTGATTTAGATCGGTCACGCTAATGCTGTTATCGATTTTTCATCATTCCCGATGCTATCCTCTCATATGTCGCAAAAGGTGTAGAGATGATGCTGACCCCGCTTCTGAACTGGTGACAACTGACTCTCTCTTACATCCGTGAAGCTAAGGTACGGAAAGCACGGAAGTAAAGAAAGACAAGAGTTCACTCAAAAACCTCAAAATACCGAGCCTATTATGTGGGCTAGAGGGATTGATTTGTGGACTGGATCGGAACCTGTAGAATAGGCCGCGGGTTTGCTCCCGAGTTTCCTCCGCCAAATGGATTTACAAGGATATCCGCACGTCCTGAAGGCGAGAATGACTCTAAGCTTTTGGGTAACGAGGCTGTCTAACAAAAAGAGTTCGAGAGCGTAATATGACATACGGTCCCTCGGATTCGCTTCGTATAATCAATGATACTACCTATCAGCTCTACGAACTAGGTATAACATTGACCGTCCACCTTGGAATAAGTGCCATGGAATATGGTAATCGCTACTCACTGACGAGTTGAGGATGTCAAAAGCCTGCTTCGGAACTGCATGAGGGCTGCACCGGATGATTTCCACGATCCGGTTCACCTATTCGCACTACAGAGGAGGTGCATGCGAAAATACGTACAAAGGTGTGATCTGAGTTACAACATGAGTAGGATTGGGACGCCGAGTAGCTGATTTGATGTCTGCATGGATATCAAGTTCCTGTTGGAAGACTTCGATTCTTTCTAATATCCGATTATACATATCTCTTCAATTGATTGCCAGCCAAAGAGAAGAAGACAAAGCGTTACACCAGTTTTGCGGGCCTAAAAGCAATTGATGGTTATATGAAAGCCGTTCAACCCATGACACCGTCGCTAGTGAATCGCCGCCCAAGAAATCCTAAGGACAGGAAGTTTTAGGCGCTGGGCGTTCAAAATGCGACTATAGTGAGATCACCACTGAGCAAGTCAAGTCGGCCCCGTGAAGAGTATCTCCATGACATCCGGGCCGGTATGAATGAACGGACCGTGCCGGTGTCAAGATGCACGCAGTCTCGCGCGGGGGATTCTCGCATGATAACGTATTCCTTAGCATCCGGCCGGCAATTGCTGACATGAAGATAAGTTATCTCTAGCCAAGAGATCCGGCCTTGTCGACCCCGATTTTGCTGTCTTGGCGATGGCAATGAGAATTGACACATTTAACCGGCGGCCCACACATACACCGCTTTGTATTGGCAACGTCGGCATTGACATTCGGCCGAAGCTACCAAAGTTTCAAAGATTGACAGCTCTAGTGGGCAATTACAGCATCCTTCCAACGAATTACTGAAGGGAATCCGCAACTCCGATGAGTCCTGGATAGTGGCAGCTAGCAACGACTCAAGTTCCAGGAGGGTTCGAGTATTTGACTTGCCTGATGGGGTATCGAGCCTCCGGATATCCACCATGGGGGCCCCATTTTCTAGAGTTGCACGCAACCCATTACCTAACGCCCCTCAAGCGAATGCTTCTCTACATTATCCAACTTCCTTTTCCCATCGTCTGCTCTCGCTCGTCATTACCGCCACGCAACTCTGGTGCCATTTCCATGCAGGTCAAGCCGCGACAACACGGTCGAGATTCATCCAAGATAAGGCGTCAGAACAAACAAGAGCCGATGGTCGGTTTCCGCAACTCGCGAACAAGCTAGGGTTCCCCGCGGTTCCGATGCCGGGATAGTAAACAAGGCCGGGCCCATGCAGCGTCCCTCCCGCCAAGACACCAACGATATGAACTCCAAAGAAGCGAGAACTCTGACCCCCGTCATGACCTATGCGCGATTAGAATTTTCCACGTTCTCTGTGGTCGCTTGCGCCGTCTTCGGGCATGCCTCCCACGTTGTTACAGTGATTGCGGAGTTGGGCCCTGATAGTCGGTAACCGGTCCTGCGCAACATGACACGAAAACTCGACTAAACGCAACCTCCGCACCCCAAAAACCTCGGTGACGGGACTTAATTCAATCTAATTAGATGATGCCCAGCCTTTAGAGATCTGCTAAGCCTCCAATATGTCCATCCGGGTGCTTATCAAAACCTCACTTGGTTGAGCCTCATGCATAGTCAAGGCAGGGGAGACAGCCATATAAAGAGCAGATTTCAATCGAGGGCATCAGCCATGAGCCTCTTGGACTTCTCACCGTTTGTCAATCTTGCCCTCAAAGTCTGCCATAGTCAACATGGCTGCCCGTTGGTCAACTCTCCTCACTGCCGCAGCCAGTCTTTGCCAGACGGCTGTTGCGGAGCCCGTCTTCCGCGAGACGGTCTCTTTCCAGGGCCCTTTTGAAGTTGAGAGGAACGGAGTCCGTAACATCAACATTGAGTACAATGGACCTCTCGATGGAGAGCTGTCCATTGTCTACGGTGATTGCGGAATGAGATCCCCCTTCGAAGCCCACCACAAGATTGGACGGACACACATCGGCTCTCACCCTGCTGCGAAGCGTCATCTGGAGTGGACAGATCAAAGACCTACAAAGTTTGTCTGGATGGTGCCTGAAGATGTGTCTTCGGGATGCCTGCACGCCTTTGTTGACAGCCAGCTTGTCGGCCGCTCTTCAGAACACTCTGTCAAGAGTCGCAAGATGCGGAAGCGTGCGACTTTCGCTGAAGCCACGGACCCGATGGGCCCCTGGTTTGATGGCGTTGAGTACCTTAAGCAGAAGCAACCTGACGATGTCTTTGTTGCATCGGTAAAGAACAAGACGTTTGGTATCTTAGGTGCTGGTATCTCCGGTCTGCATACTGGTGTAAGTTTTCATGGCTTCCATGTTTGTGAGAAGAAGCTAATAAGAGCCACAGTTGCTACTCGACTCAGTCGGAATTCACAACTGGAAGATTCTGGAGTCTTCAGAAAGAATCGGCGGACGTATTCGCACCACCTACCTGAACGGATCAACTCCGGACGAGCATCAGCACCACGAGCTGGGACCTATGCGGTTTCCGCACAGCATTTACGATGCTGAAACCAACGAGACCTACCCCATCAACGATCAGAAGATGATCTACCAACTGGCGGATGTCCTCAACGAGATCAACGCTGACGCGGACCCTGCTCTCCAAGTCAAGTTCATCCCGTGGATCCAGGTTTCCGACAACGCCCCTGTTGCAACCAAGGAGCGCCGTCCCGATGGCACTGTCCCCGGTCGCAAGGAGATCGCCGCCGACCCCTCCCTCATGACCAACACGACCTACTCCAACGCCACCGCAGCCAAGGAAGCTATCCAGGCTCTTGATGACTTCAAGGCTTTGACGCCCGAGAGACGGAAGTTCTACGCTACCAATGTCTTCAAGGCCCACAAGGAGGCTGTGGAGACTGGCATGTTTGATTTCTCTGAGGTTGAGTACCTCCTCCACGTTATGAATACCGACCTAAATGTGACTGATGAGGTCACCCCGTCTCATGTTGTCTGGCCCATGTGGGAGTTCGAGACTGTCTACTTCCTGGCCAATGAGTGGCGTACCGTTGATGGTGGTATCAGCCGCCTCCCCGCTGCATTCGAGAATATCATCAAAGACCGCATCGCCTACAAGACCAAGGTCTTCAGCGTCAAGTATAATGAGGACTCCAACAACCTCAACGTCACATGGCGTGAGACTGGAGGCAACCCCTGGTCCAAGAACACCACGACCGAACAGTTCGATTACGTCTTCAACAGCGTACCGTTCAACGTGCTCAAGTACTGGGAGCTGCCGCCTCACTCTAGCTTGATGCGCCGTGCCATTGAGCGCACAGTCTTCCTGGGGGCCGTGAAGGTTGCCATGCAGTACAAGACTCGCTTCTGGGAGCACCTCGAGCACCCCATCATCGGCGGATGCGGACGCACCGATATCTACGGCATCGGCCAGATTTGTTACCCTTCCTACAACATCAATGGAACCGGCCCTGGTGTTATGCTTACGAGTTATGCGCCCGATGCTGACGCGGTTGTCGCTTGCTCCATGCCCGTCGAGGAGCACATTGCCTACATCCAACGCGCCATGGTCGAGATCCACGGCCCCATTGCCGATGAGATGTGGACTGGCAACTACGAGCGTCACTGCTGGGAGCAGGATGAGCATCATGCAGGAGCTTTCGCCGTCCCCATAGTCCCTCAGCAGCAGCTCTACCTCCCGGCTTTCTGGCAGACCGAGTTTAACACAGTTTTCATTGGGGAACACACCAGCTTCACGCATTCATGGGTTTTCAGTGCTCTTGAGAGCTCTACGCGTGGTACTGTTCAGATGCTACTAGATCTCGGCTTGGTTGATGAGGCCAAGCAGATCACCAGGACCTGGATGGCAAGATGGATCAGCGTTTGAGGAACCACATTAAACATTTTTTTTACCATAGGCACAGTTTCTAAGAAGTGGAAATCTCTGTGTCAAGAGGTCAAATGTAAATAATCCTAGACATATTGGAATGAATACATGAGGGTATCTATCAAAAGCAGTGGTATTGGCAAAATGCAGATATAATTATGGAATTCGGCATTCCAATCTTCGAGTTGAGACCTTAGGAGAAATCGTCGACTCTTAGCTCTCGATGTTTCGAGCACGGCAGACAATATCTCAGCCATGGTTTTACTCCTAAGGAACCACCGTCTTTGGCTGCGTGGTGTGGTAGATCAAGGGTCGTCGTTTGAGTATGCGTTTGACTTTGCTCCATTGGAAGATTCACCGCAGGCTGTCTTGTCGCCAAGTCTCCCTCTAGAGACATCGTTTTAGTCTGTTGTACATCGGAGACAAGGCTATGGCGTAATTGTCTTCCATCGCTGTCAATGTAGGAACCTTGACTCCGGCATGGCGGCACTTGCACTGCATGGTCTACTAGCAGAGAAATCTGGCGAGAGGTTGAATCAAGCACTCTTTGCTCATTGCTTACAACCACACTCTGAGGAACTTCCGGAATGACGTCTTCCCCACCGATTTGGGGCATATTTGAAATAGTTTCCGAAAAGGTTGCCATTCCCATCGCCATGACCTCGTCCATGTTGACGATGGATCTTCTTCGGTCAGCTTCTTTCACTGGATGATCGGATCCGAAGTCGCTTTGAGAGCACCAAGTTTGGAACGTCTGAGGCGTGCATGCATTTACATTGAATGACTCAGACCTCGCTGATTGATCTTCGAGGAAAGATGTCTGCGACGAGGATGATGCGCTCAATCGAGGCGAATGTTGGCGAGATAGATATTCAGTGTTGTTGTTCGAACACAATAGCTCTAAGGCCTTGAGCTCCGCAGCGACTTGATCTGATCCAGCTCGACTTTTTGAGTCAACACGGAGCATACGGTCAAGTATAAAGCAGAGGAAATCCTGGAAGAACTTGTTGCAAAGTGACTTGCGTCTCAGCTTGTCGACCCACTTTCGACAGTTAGCCATGCACACAATCCAAGTGAGGATAATGGATTAACAGTGCTTACTTTCTGAACAGAATCCTTCAATTCTGGCTTCTGCCTGCCTTCACTCGTCAAGTGTACGTTAAAGAACTTGTCGTATCTGATACCCGAGGGACCCACTTGGTCGTCCTGGAGTCTCCGCCGGACGAACTCATCCCCCACACCCTTTGAGCCGGTAAGATACCACGTTGCGAACTCGACGTATACACAACCCAAGGTCCAGATGTCGTATGACCTAGAAATTTTCTTGCCCAATTGCACTTCAGGAGCACAATGTGTCGGACTCCAACCGATGAACGACGTGTTCGAGCGGGTGTCTCGGCAGTGAAAGCGAGTGAACCCGAAATCACTGATTACGAGTATGCCTTCAGGGTACCTTGGTGACTCAAACAGCAGTAGATTTTCTGGTTTGATATCTCCATGTATGCCAAAGTCCTGAGCATGATTCGAAGGCTTTCTGTGTATCTTTTGTAGGCCTTGTGCGATACCGCGGCACTGTGTCGCTATCCATTGGACAAACTCTGGAGTGTTCTTCGGTTCAGTGTTGCGCCAGTAATCTTTGAGATTGCATTTAGCCCATGGGAACAGCATGCTCCACCTTTCTCCTTGTCTCCAGGTAGCCAGTAACTGGACAACATGATCGTGGCTAGAGTGACCGAGCGTTTTCGTCAGAGCCCGAACCTCTTCGGGGAGGTTGATAATCTGGTCAGATGTCTTCTCTTTCTGTTCTATTCGCAATAGTTCCTTGACTGCAAAGTACGGATTTCTCTCAGTCTCATTCTAAAAGTGTTTCAAAGTCAGAAAAGACCCCTCGCCTAGTGTGCAGTTGAGGATGAGGATAGTCTAATAATACCTTTGCGATGGTACGATGGCCTCTGTGTATCTGTACCCGACGTACTTTGCTGAACCAGGATTTCTCTTCAGGACCTTCATCTGTGGTGAATGGAAGAACAGTATGCTTCTCTAATTCGTAGTGCGGTATCAAATCTTGATCTCTCTGAAGCACGAAAAATGGTGAGCCCATTCTTTTCTGAAATGCGTCAAAGGCCGTCCAGTCTTTGAGCTGCCATTGACTTCCAAAATGCCAGTTCTCCAGCGTTTGGTCGGACAAGCCCTGGGGGAAAAGTCTCCCGTTGACCTCGTTCACTGTCGTATTTCGAACGAAGGGAAGGGCTGTATCCGTCAGCCCGTTATTGAGGAACTCGATGATTTCGTTAATGTTTCCTAGAAGAGTGAGGATCGCAAACACGCTCCGGGCGCCGACACTACCTGTACCGGGACAGATCTTATTGGCATACTCCCATCGAGCGCTTTCGGTCATTGTCCCCAGAGGGAAAGTCTCCATCAATGCAGAATGAACAGAATGAGTTGTGAAGATTCTGAGCAGCTCGGGCACCGGTAACCACTGATCACCATCATCCTTTCCAGCGTAGCGGGCGAAAGAATTGCAGATATCGTCACACATTGACTTGATTGAAGGCTCTTTTTTACTAGTTCCGAATTGTGAACCAATCTCGACCAGGTATTGCTTGTTGTTCTCAGACTTAGGTTCGAGGGGGCCAGCAGAAGCGCCATGAGCTTTTGCCGCAGCGGCGTAGCCTCGATCATGCTGTGTTTGTACACTGACCCCGTCCGAGACATCGTTTCCAGGCGGCCGGCTTAGCCATGATCCAGGTGAAACTTGTTGTTCTGATCTCTCTTGCGAATCTCGGCCCAATGGAAGTGTATCGGCATGGCAAATTGTGACATTCCACGCTGCATTTTGTAGCCGGTGAAGAGGCTAGTCAATAAAGTCAGTTAATTCGGGCAAGACGTACAAACATTTTAATTAGTTGACATGCCCAGAGAGGCCAGCGATGGTGCATTGACTCACGTTTACGACTTGTTGGCATAGGTCAACAGCAAGTGTGAGGCTCTCATCTGCATCTAAGCCTTCGATATCCATTCCCCTCCAAAAGTTGACACCGACACTGAAAAATCAGGTCTATGTACGGATAGAGTGATTGGCTTTACTGCCTAAAGTAGTAATGGAGTACACAAGTCGTAAATTCGGGCCACAAAACCTGCAGAAGAAGCACGAACATCCAGGGGAATGAACATCACTTATGGTATTCCTTTCGGGTGATTGGGTCCATGCTATTAACGCATAGCTAAGACCATATTTTTGTGAGAAGCCTAGCTCGGACTCAAGCAGTGATGGCTACTAGCACAGCCTCGAAGTCATTGCCTGTCTCAGATGCAGAATAATGCCGCAAGGGGTGTCATTTGCATATTGTTCACACCTACTCCCTTGCTCCGTGGTCTCAGCTAAGAAACGCCAAAGGGCCCCCATGAGGATTGGGGTAACCACCCCCAGACGGCATTAGCATATGCTAGCAGCATCAAAGGTCTCTGAAGCTCAGGGAGTGGAAGTTACTGATCCGTGAGAACATGACAGGAGGAGTGAGATTGGCGCACAAGTGAAGATCGAGCTCAGCTTTAGCAAGGGCGAAGTGGAAAAACAGGGAATCCTCCGTGGCTGACACCCACACCCACGGAAGGCGAAGCAAATACGATAAAAAGGGGGGCTCCTCGCGGCAGCATACGGCTACTTCGATCTTCTTCAGCAAAGTGGTTCCCTCATCTCTACTGCTAATACTTGAACGATATTCTGTCTAGAGTCTTCAACAGCATCATTCATTCATCGCCTTGGTTGTTATTCTTATCTTACCTGACCTACACTTCTTGGCCATCTTCCAATGAACAGCGACGCAGCTGCTCCATCTAGTGACGGCGAGTGGCAATTCATTCATTGCAATATGGTCAGAAGCCCCCACGAGCTCTCCAATGTTCTAACTGAAACTTATGGGCATGGGAAATACACTGTCGAGGTAAGGTGCAAGATTTCAGGTTGTTGATTTCGAAGCGAACTCACTTGCTCGCTGGACGCATCTCAAGTGTGCTACGGACATGGAACTTGGCAATCACTAAAACATACGGTGACTTTTAGACACGGCAGAACGTCTATTGTATCAAAGCTTTGGAATCTTCGTTGCCTGTAAATCTGGTATGAACCTTGGCGAATAAGGCTGGCCTAATATTGCAACTACTTGAACTAACATCTCGCAGAATCACCTTAAAGTCGCGCAGTCTCGCTGAATGGAAATTATCTTCTGTAAAGTCGGTTTTATGGAGAAGCCTACTCCTCAGGCGCTTCGGTAACATCTCTATGTTAATGTGAGCTTTTGTAGAGAGTTTTCGCACTGTCGTACCTGAGGAAAAGCGTATCCATGTCTGTCATCACGAATTTGGAAGGAAATACTGATTTCAACTTATTTCTGCCTCTCTTCTTTGTCAATTTTCCTTTCATACTCTGGCGCCAGCCTACTTGTCGCAAGGATAAATAATGGCATGCCTTCATCTTCAAATTTCCAAGTCACGGCCAAGACTTGAGACATCAAGTCAGCTGCAGGACCGGAAGCTCGAGATCAGGCTGTGGCATGCATATGACTTCAGCAGGGCTTTCAGTGGTGAATCAATGGATGCCAGTGCGTCGAATGGCGGCTCGCCAAGCCCTCCACCGACTTCAAGCTGCTTCATTCTCCAATGGTCAGTCAAGTGCCCACACCCACAAATGTAATCACATATTAATGTGGCTGCAACGCAGCGCCCGCGACGACATCTCGCCTCTAAGGCTTCCAGTGAAAGATGGTTGAGTTGAAGTCGGTGAGCGGGTAAGGCAGGCTACCCAGCGGTAGCAACCCTTACTTGCCAGTATTATCAAGCCTCATGCGCAAGTGAGACTCAGAAGGGTGTGGTGGCATGCTCTTTCTATGCTGTTCTGCCTGGCTTGGTAGCACAGAGCTCACAGCCGTCTTGAGTCGCCTCTATTGATTTAAACGCACGGTCTCAAACGAGAAGAGGGCTCGTTTCATTCTCCCTGCGTCATCCGCTCAATTCAGATCTTCTGGGCATTGGAATGTTGTTAATTTTCACAGCCTCACAAGGCAATAATTGGCATAGACCCATTCGACTCCCAGCGCTATGGCGAACGCTTTCGAATCCACACTGCCCTCTCTTCAAATCAATGATGGACCACACATCAGCTTTCCCCGCCTGGGACTTGAGAAAAGTAATCAAGGTTCAGGTCTTTTTACTTGGACTCATCCTCAGTTACCCACCCTTGAGGATAGCTCCGGCAATAAGAACGTCCAGAAGCATCTGGAAAAGCGGTTTCAGAAGAATGCTGTCAGAGATCCTTTCGATTCAGCCAGCAATCTTGCCTTCTGGCCTTCAAAATTGTCAGCTCATCTCTTTAAGAGAAGTGATATTTTCGAAGTTGTCAAGAATCTGCTTGAGAAAAACGCTCTTCCTCGGCACAGCGAGGAAGCGACCCATGATTCGAACACCATAGACCATTCTGCTGAACGCTGGACTGATGAAATCTGCGGTGCTAAGGCGAATTCCGAGACTTACCGCCTTGTTTTCACGATTTTGCTCCTCATAGATAAAGCAGAATGCATCGAAAGCTTCATCAATAGTCGATTAAGCGACAACAGTCTACCTTTGGGGCAAGATCAGATTCAGAGATTGTATGAAGAAGGAGATGACCACCCAGAGCTTCCATTCGGGGACTGGTCAGTGGTAGCCACGGCGAATTTCCAGACTCTGCAAAGCCAGCTTATGGTCCACTTCATACGCAAGGCGAAGATTGGAGGAGAGGTTTCACATCACGGCTTCAAAGCAACCCAGGTCCTTCCTTGGGCATACATACCGAACGAAGTCTCGTTGTCTTCGGCAGATGTATCGGTTAAATCTCTGGGCGGTGGCTTCGGTGAGGTCAGGCGTGTTATTATTCACGCGTGGCAACACGACTTTCACCAAACTCTTCATCATGTAAAGCATTTCTCCCCTCCCCTGCCATTCCTGTTCTTCAACTGACATCCAACTCAGATCTCCGCTGCTTCAAGCTGCTTTGCGCTCAAAAGACTCTACATCGCCAAAAAGCACGAGTTTGAAGAAGAAGTAAAGCAGTTGAAGCGGTTCGGTGGACGCCATGCTCATATTGTTACTTTGCTTGCGACTTTTACAGTCCAAGTAAGAAATGAATTGGAGTACTTCCTTCTATTCCCATGGGCAGATTGTGATCTACTTGCTTTCTGGGAGCGTGAATCTAAACAGGAGAGAAATCATAAGTTCTTTCGATGGGTGGCAAAACAATTGTGTGGTATCAGCAACGCGGTGAGCTTCATACATGACCCAGACGAGCTGGACGCAAACGGCGACAGGATATACGGGAGACATGGTGATATTAAGCCCGAGAACGTTCTTTGGTTTAAGTCCTCAGACCATGGGAATCTGGTGCTCTCGGACCTTGGCCTGACGAGAACACATCGAATACAGAGCCGATCGAACAGGCCAGGCGAGAAGATACCGGTTTCTCCCAACTATCGACCTCCCGAGTGCGATATTGACGGGAAGAATGGCAAGGTGTCCAGATCCTTCGATATCTGGACACTGGGGTGTCTGTTCCTCGAATTCGTTGTTTGGACACTGGAGGGGTGGGATGGGTGGCTCGCGTTTAGGCAGAGGCGTATGTCTCCCTACATACACGGTCATGATACGCCTGTGTATTTTGAAATCGTTCGTGTGAAAGGCGATGCAGAATTACTCGGTATGAAAGGAGTCGAATATGCCGTGGACATCAAGGACAGTGTGACTAAGGTAGGTACACACGTTTTCGCATGCGATGCAGAGCACTAATACCTGGTAGGAAATCTCTCAGCTTCGACAACACCATAAATGCTCGCAGTACACCCACGACATGTTGGACTTAATACAGACTAAGATGTTGATTGTACAGTCTGAAGAACCGTCTCGACCCCGCATTCAGGCACCCGAACTTTCCCGGAAATTGAAAGAGATAGAAATCGCCTGCGAACGATGGGAATACTGCATGACCCCAGGCACTTCAACCACTACGAATGAGCCTCATCTACCCGTTCGCGCTCGCCTGAATAACGTTGCTTTGCGTCATATTTCGAACATCAACGCCAGTGACGCCGAGACCGCCATCAGGTTTAAAGAAGGTCCGTCAAGGGCAATAGGGCTCCGCTAGACGACGGAACTCAGGCGATACTGTACACGTAGATTGGACCATTCCAACACTTGTGCTTTTCAACTGGACACTGAACCCGTCTCATCTATGGTTGTAACACTGCTACAAAAGCCTGAGGAAGGAACTCTATTACTGAGTCGTGGGTCTACTGTTGTGCCAATTTCTCATTCCATTCTTAACCTTCGTTCATCTGGGTATAATGGTCTGCTTCGATCGCTTTCAAGACAGTATCTCGCTCGTTCTGAATGCCATACGGTTAGGAAATGATTATTTCAAGCTGCTTGTAATGAATGACCACTTTACCTGCGTCAATTTCCTCGGAATTGTACAAAAGAAGCGACCCCTTTCCGACTGCCGTGAGGTCCACCGCGTTAGCATTAAGTACCTATGGTCTAGCATCGGGTTGAGAGTTGGGGTGCGAGTCCGTTACGCACCGATATCTGGCATCTTTGACGCGGAAAAATAATCCTCAGATACTGCGATATGACCGTCTCGTCGGTGTATCTACCGCGGAACACCTCTGTGGCCATCGTTGTAAGGGAGATGGCGCGAAGGCCTGGACTTGAAGGTAGATGAATTGAGATCTCGGGAGAGCTGTGGTATGGAAGAGGTTTGAGAGAGATTTATTGCCCAAAGGTAGTAAAGATAGGTCTCACATACCCCGTTTTGTAGAGTAAAATGTAGATATGCCACAGGGCATCCTGCAGTGACCAGGAGGAAAATTGAAATTAGCCTAGGCGGCAAGAATACCAATTGTGTGCGAAAAGCCCTGCGGAAAGCCGACGGCTGTGTTTGTGCCCAGATTTGTCACTTTATGAGCATGCGTTGCCTTGGCTGCCAGCTCATTCCGTCAAGCTCCAGTCTTCACGCCAATGAGGCAACGAGCGGAACGCGGCCTCGAGTGTTATTTGCTCACTGACAGATACGCTAGAACGCCTTCCATAATCACTGTCGGTGTATTGGGTGTATCGAGCAAATGCGCGTTGTATGTAGAAGCCAGAAAAATGGAGAGGTCGTGGCTCTGTGCAACTCCTGAAGGAGGCATGTGGCAATCCTCAGTCCACATGTCTCACTATCCGCAAAATTTTCTTCCCACGGAGAAGAACCCGACTTTTCGGCACATGACACACACAGCCGTAACATCCAAGGTACCCCGGTGCTCAAGATAGATGTGTGCGGACCATTCGCAGATGTGGCGGACCACTTTCAGCTCGTTTGCCTGCTTTGAGGGGTGACATTGGCCTTGGCCGCCAATCAAACGCCTCTCGTCCTCAGTGGTTGCTCATGAGACTGGCGTCTCAATTTTCCAAGGTGGCGCCTCTTGAGACTCATCCCGGCCACAACATATCTTGCTGTCCCTACGTGTCAGCATTCGGCGGTGGCGAAGCTCAATGTGCGACATTGGCAGTCACTTTGCCCTGCCACGAAGAAGTAGGTTGCATAAGCTCGCCTCGCCAACCTTTTAGTGTGGCATGCTTTCAATACCACGCATCATCAGCCTCTACATTTATTCATAACATTTACCTACTGGGATGACGCTGGCGATAGCATCGTTCGGGCTATCATGGACTGGCCATCGGAACAAGGTGGCTTGAAAATGGCCGACTTTGAGAGAGTATTCCGATATCATCCTCAAGCCACGACTGTTGTGAATCTGCTGGCGAAAGACCGCGTCAGTAGCTCCGCTTGCTAAGATGGGGTAACAGTGCTGACACCAAAAAGGGCCCAGTCGTATGGTCTCATAAGACAGCAGAAGATTGGAGATCCTGGCTTCAGGATGTAAGTCTCTTCGACCTAAGGTGTCAAACAAACCCGTCCTTACCTTCCTGGCTTAGTACCCTCCCTCTGTTCACAAGGACTCCGGCCTCGTTCTCATGTACGTGACTCTATCCACTGTTTGACTATGTATGCCTAATACCCAGTTCACAATGAAGCTTTGCTCGGAAACCAGGCGAACCGCAAAGTGATATCGGAAAGCTGGCGTCAAGAGAGCCGGATTCCTCTTATATAAAATCCCCAAGCGGCCTGCAAGGCACATTCAACGAGAAAGATCGATCTTTGAGCTGGCCTAAGAACGAGACTGTATTGAATCACGATGTTCAGTCTGGAAAGCTTCATTTCGACATCGACAATAGTTTGAAGGGAGGCGGAAGGGAAGTTCGACGGCTCCCTTTCGACGAAATCACATTCAAAGACATTTGCGAAAGATTTTTTGTGCAATCTTCAATATCGCGAGTCATCAGCCGAGCTGATGTCCCTCTTTTCTCCAAGTCTCGAGTTTCTGTCAATATCGGGGAGTCAGACTCAACCAGCTACCCTGCAACCGGTGTGTCAACCTATGAGCTTCAGCCATTGATGCCGCCCAGAACTAAATATGACTATAGTCTACCACTGCAGATCTTCCAACACTTGGGCAGATGATATGGCACTGACTGCAACTTACTTTCCTCACAGCCGTTTGACGTTCGCGATACTGTTTGGGTGTACCGCAGACGTTGAGAAGAATATATTCAACAGACTTAGTCGGGCAAAAGATCGAGTTTATCATCCCATGATTCTTCCAGGCATATTTGCGGAAATAGAAAAGGACCGCATGGCCAAGGTTGTTGAAAGGACCGTAAGTGACATCGAAGGCGCAATATTCGAGCTAGGGACTGGAAACCCTGTCGAAGGTGATACGGTTCAAGAAGAGGACAAGATCGATATGAGGCATTCTCGAAGAACGTCGTGGCTGAACACTACTTACCTTCGCAATAGCCTCCGAGCTTGGAAATCTCAGCTCCGCAAAATGGCCGATCACGTTGGCGAACCTCTGAACTTTGAGGGAACTACACTTGGTGGGAATTTGAGTGGGGCGTTGGATGGTGAGCCATTGACAACTCAAACTGACAACGGGATTGCGAGAACGAGCGAAATGATCATGGATAGACTCCATGCCCTAATCGAGGAGTTCGAGGACAGAATTCAAGATTGCACTATGAGCGTGGAAGGTATGACAATTGCAACGCAGTGGGTAAGTCCAGTTTCTGTCAAGATCCCTGCACTGTCTCAAGGCAGGTATGTGTCTCATGATTGACCTCACTGTAGGCCCAAGGCGATACAAATGTCGATATTGCAACAGCTACAGGAAACGATTCGAGACAGATGCGGTCAATTTCTTTGGTTACAATGATATTCTTGCCAGGAACATTCTTTGCAGTGAGTATAGTTTGCAGCCTTGTAGTTTGAGGCTACCTGACGCGGTGCTGATGATGCGGTAGACCTTGTTCTCCATGACATTCTTTGATTGGTCTCCCAATGGTGACCAGCAGTCCGTCGTATCGGGCTATATATGGATCTACTTCTTGGTCACTGGTGTTTTCACCGCATCAACTCTCGTGGTCTGGTGGTATTTCCTCTCTCCACGTCGGAAGAAGTATCGAGGCTGCAGTCTATTTACCTCAATCTTGGCTGTCTGATATATATCTATCTGCTAGGGCTCAGTCTACCTGAATTTCAATTATTAGCTCCGTGGCCAGGTGAACTTGCGGGAATTCTGATAGTGATCAAGATTACCCCTCTCCAAAGGAAGAGAACATTCCTTTGTGTTGGATGCTTACGTATCTGAGAGCTGACCATGATTTCCTGATCGTATACTTCAAGTTCTTTGTCTTCAACTTTTGACGTAGGATTCCATGTAAGGTATGAACAAACAAGAATGCACTCTAGTGGCTTTCATAGTGTGATCTTCAATGGCAAACCAGTCTGTCAGGTAACAGTGGACCACAGGCCTGTGTCATAATTCCAAGAATACCCCTAGCACGTGCGCCACTCTGATCATTCCACACACTATGCCGAAGTGCCAATATCTGAGAAACCAATGTACAACGAGCCTTGGCCAAGCGCCTGAGCTTTTCAAGATTTCTGCTCGTCAATGCTTCTGACGGCAAGCTCTCGGCGTTTTCTGTCTCCCAAATGTCCACCCTTTAACACGAGCTCGCCGGCCTTGTCGCGGATCTCGAAATCTTCCGTAGTGATCCAATCTTGCTTAGAAGTCTTCTCTTTGATAACTTCTCGACCAACCTGATTTTGGATGTCTCTTCTTCCATTCAGGAGATCGTTACTCAATTTTGCCTGTGAGTGGGTTAGATCTGCTTACTATTCGTGGAATCTGGTAAGGTATGACCTACCCCTCGTTCTTTTGACGGAGCGCCAGCATATTTGCAGAACCAGTCTGCACGGGTCAGAGAATGTAGGATCATTTTACAATCCTATAAGTGGTTAAAATTCCAAGCTAAAGGTTCGAGAAGATTGTGGTAAATGCTTACCTGGAGGTTGCTACATATTGATTGCCATCTGGCAGAGAAAGTGTCGAAGTGTTCCCACGTCGACACAGTCCTCGTACCAGACCAGACAGGGCGCATTGTAAAGCCCTGCTGCTGCTCCATTGCAGACCGCTTATGAAAGGTTAGCCAAAGTTGGAGGGCAACGTGTCCGCACTGAGATGGTATGACGTACCAGAAGTCTCCAACACAGCAGCTCAACCTCAATGCCAGAGATCCGGTGATGGATGACCGCTTCGAGAAGATCTGCAGGTGAACTTTCAGCATCCACCAAGGCCCAATCTGTCTTGCTCATTCCCTTAGGCCTTGCTGGTATGATGTCAACTTTTTGACCGTTGCGTACCCTTCGACGCTTCCTAGGATTCCCTTCGTTCTCAGGCGTCACCAGATCCTGTGGAGCATTGGTAACATTGCCGAGACGCTCACGAGCTTTTCTCAGCTCAAAGAAATCACTCAGATCAGTGATACTCTCAAAGAGCTGCTGAACATACTCTCGCTGCTTTTCTGAAGAGGCTGGCCAAGAAATATCGTCTTCGGGGGCTGAGCCAGGTGCGCGCTTCGTGTGTCGCTCGTAGGCATTATCTAGCTCCATGAAGTGATCCATACTCTGTACAAGCCCTTTGAACTGGAAAGTCGGGGTAGCAACCAATTCGGCCTGCAGGAGTGGATGCTGATTCTCGTGTAGTGTTAGGCACTGAGAACCCGCTCTCTCACCTTTTTGGGCCCGTGAAGTAGCGGATGAGCATGCCGGAGTGGTCAAATGAGGTTCAGAATCTCGCTGCTCCTGTGTAGAAATTCCGTGAAACGACTCGTTCGCAGAATCTAGAGGTCCCTCTCGCATTTCCGGCCAGCCGTTGAATGCTGCGCGATGCTTGAGAGCCTCGATGGCTTCGTCCGCGTCAGTAGGGGAGGACAATGCGATGCTCGAAATCCATTCATGGAATCGTTCAACAAGGCCCCATATTCCGTCACGATCAGGCCGATTGTATAGGAGAGTCCTGTAGAACTCAATCTCGGGGAAGACTCTGAAGTGGTCATGATACCGGTAAGGAATGATGTCGTCTGGAAGAGTCTAGTCAGTGAATCTTTCTTGCAAAACACTACCAGGTATCTTGAAGGATACATGTTACTTACTTAACAAGACATCAAACATCCACTTTTTACTCTCAGAAGGCACTCCAGGATCGTCAATGATGTCGAGATCGGACTGAAACGGCGATTTCTCAACAGCCGGAGGTGCCGCCGGTGACATGAAGTCGGCCATGAGGCCTTCTTCGCCATGCCAATGGAATGCGTCCAGCGCATTTCCATCGGCGGGTGTACCGTAAGCCGACATGTCGAAGAACGGGAAGTCGAAATCCGACATGTCTAAATGAGACATGTCGAAGTCTGACGTGCCGAATTCCGCCATACCGAAGTTTGACATCGGGGATTTTGTGCAGTAGGTGAGGAGGGTCGGATATTGAAGGCGTTCGGTATCGAAAGGGGGCGGTGAAAGAGGACAAAGATTGCGGAAATGTCGTAAAGGTGAGGGTCTTCAGCGCGGAGGTAGAGATAGATGAGGAAGGAAAAGCTCACTGTAGTGAAGAGTCCTATTTATGGGCCAGCAGAAGAAGGAGACCGCCCCAGGGCGGCTTCAAGTGAATCGCTGGGAATAGCTTCACTTTCGTCTGGTACTCTACTAGGGTCTGGCGATTGTGGGTCTAGCCTACCTTCGCCTTGGCCCGAGCTCTGTCAGGTGCTTGACCACCGCAACTAACCTCCTTGAGGATATTGATAAGATGAAGAAATGCGAAGCTCAACTACTCCCAGATAGGAAATTCGAGAAGGCTAAGACCCACCCTCGCCGGCGAGTCTAGGGAGGATAAACAGAAGCTGAAGATAGCTATGAGCGTTTCAGATGATTGAGATTTGCCGATGAGAGCTGCTACAGCTAGCGGCCATGAGAAGAACCGTCAGCCTCCACGAGAGGCTGGCTGCCAGGTGAAAGAGACGCACTTGCCCCTCACGTGGACCGCCATCTTGCGCATTGTAAACGACAAAAAGGAGATATTTAGAGAAATGTGTAGCTTGAAAGCATCAAGTCTCGTGTCAAATGGTCTCCCTACATGATAGTTGGCTTATCATTCTCATGCTGTTTTGGAAAAGCATCGGAGTTGAGGGGGAAAGGGGACCTGATATAGGTTTCTTTGCCCATGAGGGGCTCTTGTTATCTTGTACTGAGTGCTGCCAAAGAGCCTATTTGCTTTCTACTAGTAGTTTGTGCTTGGATTACGCGAAGTTTCTGCGTTGCAGAGTGGTTTGTAATCAATTGGAGCACACTCGCTGTTGTCAACAAACAACTGCCTTTAACACCTGTGCCAAGGCCACCTCATCACTCTTAGATTGCCTGATGCTTGGGAAGACCTTCTTCACGTGGTCAAAACTTTATCAAATCGGAAAGAAAAACTGCTCTGCGGAATCGATTGTGAAACATATCTCACGGAAGGCAGCCGAGATGTGGAAATTGTAGGCACGACATGTAGATATGGGCAGCACAGTCAACGCAAAGTATCAAAGATCATTTCGATAGGGTGTTCAGCCATTGCATCCCATGGCATGACTCAATGAAGAGGTCATAAGCCCCCATTGAAGAAGTTTACTCTCATCTGTATCAATTTAGGTAAGACTTGGAGTTCCTCGGTAGATCTGCGAAATGTTTTCAAGCATCCTTATGATCTCGTGTGAAGAAGTCTACTCGAGTGATGCACTGACGATCCAGGATTGGCGAAAGCAACCTCAAATGTATTGCGCGTGTTTTCTGGAGAATCCTTCTTCATGTTCGGCGGCAGACATCTTGCATGCAGGAAAACGACGTGGTCAATGATAAACGCGACGTAAAGTCAGGCAAGGAACCGAAGACGGAAAATCTTGGCAATTAACTTGACAGTCAGCTTAAGGAGAGAGGTGGTTTGTGTAAAGCCTTCCACAGTCATATTTGTTGTTTAAGCAGTTTATTTGCTAGTGACAGCTTTGGAATCATGGCTGCAGAGCTGAGCGTTTCCATTGAGACGCAGAGGTCTGATGAGTTGATGTCGAAGTCCAATTGTGAGCTTGTGACACAGACAGAAAAACATCAAAACAAGCTTTCTGGCTCGTCTCTCAGCTGACTGTGAGACGGAGAATGTCTAGACTTCCATATCACCACCGTTAGACAGCCGCACAGGCGATTTGTGTTCATTACACTACAAGCCTCAGCCACCCAAAGCTCAAATCAACATGAGAACCCGTTGTCATGGGACAGACTTTCCGGCTCGTAACCTCACTCCTACTCGTACATGTGTTCTCGAAGCAAGAACGGCTCTTCCATATCCACACAATGAAAGAATGCTGGAACTACAGGACCCGTTGGCGCTTCCCCGTGCAAAAATAGTCCCTTGCAGTGGTGTCGGTGTTCGGTTGACGCCGACAAGTTGTGTATCAGCGGTCGTTGATGCTCGACGCTATGGAGCAGATTATGCCATGTGTAGAAGCAGTGCTCTTGGTGGAATCGTAAGTCCGTGTAGAGAATTCTCCTCTCTCCAGCCATAAGCACTTGTTCAGACGCTGGCTTGGTGAGGTTCTTATCGAATGCCCAAGGGCTCATATTGTATGCGTTGTACGTGCTGACGAGGTCGCCGTTATAGCACTGGGATGGAACCCAGCCATATGCCATGACGTCAAAGACGCAGCCATTTGCCTTTGCTTCGGGGACCGTGGAGCCACAGGTGTGTTTTGGAGTGGCGTTTGGAGAGGATTCGATGCTCAACAAAGAGTATTCATGGCTGAAAGCGCCGAGTGCGAACAGCAGGAGGGTGATCAAAGCGGACCAGCAAAGAAATCTTGAAAGGTGGCATCGACCTCGTCCTACCGAAGATACAATTTTGACCCGACTGTGTTCCTTCCTAAGAAGAACGTCAGCCTCGGGGTCGCCATGAAAATTCGTCATGAGGAATCCCCTGAATCGATGAGTAATGCGTTGGCGACTGAGATTTCGGGGTCAAGAGGACCTTCCTTTGATGCACCTGAGAGCTAAGTTACTTGGAAGTCTCCGAAAGGTGAGATATAGAGGATAAAGTGAGGTAACAGGAAGAAGGAACCCGAACGTGTAAGGCCGAGGGTCTCGAGGCAGGCATGGAGAAGTTGAGATCGGAGCATTCTGCCACCTTCCTTTCCCGGATTGCCGCCCGTCTTCGTAAATCTCCAAGATATCAACTATCAAATATCATGTTTGTCTTTAGACTTAACGGCGTCGGATTGCTCTTTGCTCGAGTGAAAGCCCACCTTCTCGGCGCAGGCAAACATACTGTAACTTAGACTTAATCGTAAAAGACAGCCGCAGAGCCGGCAGGTGAATGTTCCTAGTTCAGCGTACCGAACAGTCTTCCCTGGTTGTTGCTAATTCTGGGAGGTACTTCCCGCATTCGAAGTTATCCTGAGCTTGGCAACTATTGATGGCGGTTCTGGTATGCATGTTGGTCAACACAGCTGTTGGCTTCCTTCTTGTCGCCCCCAATTTGGAAAGGGCCACCCGCCTGAACCCACCCACCCCCCCTTCCCCCCCACCCCAAAGGAAGCGCCCGCACACCAGTTGGAAATACTGAGCCAACGAGTGAACAAGTTCTTTTATATTTGGCACCATTTGTCTAACCTATCCTTGTCCTTTACCCGCTGGTGGGTAAGGCCGTTGGATAAACTCGTGGTCCCGGCGTCAGGCGGAGAAGGATGGCGCTGAACATGTCCATAGTCTCATCCAACACCATGTGACTAAACATGGATCTTGCAGAACAAAGGCCGTCCAGCCAACACCATGCGGTTTGCTTCGGAAACCATAGACATCACATATATCACATTGGCGCTTATCACCTTGGACCCCAAATCCCCAAGACTGACGATGCCGATGGGGGTTTTCCTGCGAAGGAAGGATGAGACTCGTGCCGCACTATGCTCCTAAGAAGGCTCCTGACCTTTTGACGGTATCAAAGAACATTGTTCAAACCTATCTGTCCAAACCTTAAAAGAGGCATTACTCTCCCTCGATGAGGGATATCCTCAGCGAATTCTTCATCTGAGCACCATCAACATCAAGGCCCATATCCTCAATCGGCAGCCTCAAAATGTTCTTTGCTAGACTCTTCCTGCCTATTGCCGCCATCATGGCATCTGTTCTCGCTGCTCCAGTTCAACCCAAGGCAGACCTCGAACCCAGGTTCATCTACGCGAGCCCTTCCATTGCCACATTCGGCGACGAGGGCCCGGTCGAAGAAGCCACGACAGACGCCTCGACTGCTTGTGTTGAATGCTTCTGATTCACAAACAGCTTGAAGGTATGGCCGCCTTTCGCTTATCCTGTCTGCAATAGTTTCAGCGACATCTAACTAGCAATAATCCTAGTTCATGAAGTTATAGAAGTCAGTTAGTGACCAGTATTTGACGGGCTAGTTGCTCACTTCCAGAACGCATAGTACCGAATAATACCGACTAGTCAAGAGCAATGAATTTGCCAATACACAGGGCAGAAACAACGAATATTTATAGCACTGTTTCTGTAGCACAAATTGAATGAATGGATCTTTGGAGTTTTTAAGGTCCTGCGTTGTCTTTCAAGGGTCTCAGGATGTAATGTGTTTCTTCCACACAACTGCCCAAGCGTGCCCAAATTTCCATGTTCCTTCACCAGGAAGATATCATTCCTGCACGAGCCTTGCGTGTCCGTTGAGTATGCTAGCCAAGATGTTCTTTGCTCTCTCTCTCTACATGTTGAGGCCGAGGCTTGACGGTTCCTCGTCACAAAGAAAATGGGGGCAGCACAGTTCTGGTGGGCCTACAGACCTAGTTGAAAAACGCGGTCCAGGTCCTCTACCCGCCACTTTCCGAATTGATACTATTCCAAGGTTATGGGAAATAGAGCTCAATCGATCGACACTGATTCACATTGAGCTACCGAATCACTCAAAGTTACCATAAAGACCTCCGCAAAAGGAACATCCTACAGCTCAAGGATTTCGGATGCTTCCGAGCATGCAAGAATTTGATATCCTGATGCCTGCTTGAATGCAAACATTCCATAACTAGAGTACGTGCTGCGGTAATAGTACTTGTGGAGCATTCATTGATTCATTCCTCTTCAAACCAAAGCTCAATCTTCCCAGTCTCCTTATCGAGCGTACTCTGCGCCTTATTCCAATGCCCCTTCCCAGCCGTAGCCATATTCACCCGCTCCGCCTCATTGAAATCGTACCCAACAACGCCTTCCAGGTAATCCTTATACCCGGTCCAGCTGTGTCGTTTCGCCCATCTTTGTAGGGCCCCCAAGTCTCTACACTTCTGATTGTGACTGTGCGAATTGAAAGAGACGTACTCGTCTGACCCCGAAAGCGAGATGTCGGCGTGGCACATCAAGTCGTTCCGGATGTGGTCTACGCAGTGCATGGTGTGGATGTCGTTGCGCGGCCACTTCTCGAGTGGTATGTCTGACGTGAGTCTGTTTCTGAGGCGGTACTGCTTACGTTAGTCCAGCGACAGATAGTGTCAGGTCTCTAAACTTACCAAGCAGTGCAGTGCGTGAAAGACGTTGATTTGGTAGATCTTGGAAGCCGGGTCGTCAGGGTGAGAGACTGTGTCAGGCAGGGCATTTTCCTTCGCCCATTCTCTATGGACCGCGACTATGCCGTCGGCTGTTGATTGTCAGCTATTAACATGTCAACTACGTCAAGAGCAATAGGATGTTTACTCTTCTGAAGCTCGTGCCAGAATGCGTCTGCTTCCGGTGATCTATCAGCAGCATCTATAATGTCGTAGAGCTTCTCGGTGGAGTTGTAGCTCTCAAGAGTAAAGTCTTTGGGTGCAAGGGTTAACTTATGACGATTGGACCAGATGCATTCATAAGAAGCTTCTTACAGTCCTGCTGGTCAATGTCTTGGATCGTGGCATCAGTATTCTTCTGGAAGGCATGGAATGCAAGGAAGCTCAGCCCCAATATGGTGACCTGGCACAGGAGAAAGACCAAGAACAGCTTCATGTATGAGAAACCTCTTCCGGCTTCTCTCGTGATGGACTTCTCACAGCGGCTGCAGAGTGTACCATGCTCCAAGTCGTTCACCTCTACTGCCAGCAGTTTGGCGTTAGTATCAGATGAGTCTCGATCCATTATAATGGCCCTTTTCGCAGCTGTGAGAATACCAGAAGGTGAGAGTAAAATGACTTTGAAGTTGTCTTGAGATTCAAAATCTGCGTGCTGTCATTGGTATGTTGGCGAAGCTCTTGCGTAGGAGAGAGGTTCGGGAAGAGTGACGACACAAGAAATCCCAATTGATCTAGACTCAAATGACTTGAACGATGGCCGCGGCCATGTGAGGTTCTTCTCATTGTGCTAGACGAAGAGTCTGCCAACTTCATTCATCACTTCTCACTTACGACCGGCTCTCAACGGCAAATCTGCATATCAAGAAAGGTGATATAATGTAGAAAGAACCATCTCTAACACCATCTCCAGAACCATGTGCATCCAACTGCATTCAAGCCATTGGCATCTGGAAAGCAAATTGCCTCCAAGCCAATACTTGAAGCCGTGTCACCGAAGTCTCCGAAGCCTGCGGACTCCTCTCCGAGTCCCCGTCTCGTCCGGGTCAAATCGTCACAGATAATTGCCCCTCACACCTGCAACCCCGGACATATCAATAGACCGCATTGTCGTCGTGATGTTTGCTCAACCCCTCCATGCTCAGCGGCGCAGACATCACGAAACCCACTTACTTATCTCCCTCAACCCCATCCGAGTCCCGGCACCGGAACGACGGGGCAAGGGTCCAACACCAACATGTGTCATCATCAATCATCAACCAACAGACGAACACCTCCAACAAGCCAATCACAGCTCACAAACACTTGCTGAAGGAACTACACCCTGAATCACACCATACCCTAAAAGTCTGTGACGAGTTCAGAATCATCGTCAGATTCAGAAAGATGTCCGCGTTTACCGCCTCTTTTTGCTGTGGTGGTGACGATGGCGGGATCTGCCAAGGGGCAAAAGTCGTGATAATCGCTTACGAATAGCTTCCAAGGAGTTCCAAGGCGGGGAGCAAACATGATAGCAATGTGGGTTTCAAGAGCTTCCTTCGTCGTCACGATCGGCGAGAGTGAGCAAACATGCCCGTTATCAAGAATTAGCAGGGTCGATTCAACCGCCGCGTCGGACTTTGCCCTTGGTTTAAAAGGTGCCCTCACAGATGCATGTAGGAAAGTGGATGTCATCGCACCAACGGTTTCCGAGTGCCCGGTTTTTTTAACGGATTCAGTTTCTCTTATTGCATAGACTTTCCTCTGCGAAGCCATACACTGACTTCCCACATCAGGGCGTCTCAATTGAGTCCAAAGATCAAGTTTACTACAATGCAACCCAACGGTCTTGATCGTCTGACCGGTCTCTTCCGCCCCAACGAGAAGACCGCCTACGCTCATCTCCGGGATGAAGAGGTGGAACAAACTCGGGAGTCAAACCCGCGTCGCTGGTCTTGCCCACCAAGCGTGTCTCAAGTGCTACTTTTTCTGATCTCCGTGGCTCTTCTCTCCGCTACTGGCGTGCATCACTTCCGCGAGAGCGAACACTCATACAACCATCGAACAAGTAAGGAAAAGAGACCAACTCTAGTGATGGAGTGCTTGCTAATCCATGCTAGATGTCGGAAATCTCGAAGAGATCAGAGGTCCGGCGATGTTCAAGGAAGCCGACACCTCGGGTCCGTCTCCGGAGCTGGATGCTGCATGGGACAAGCTCATCGATGAGCGTAAGTGGCCACGGTTCATCGACTCCACGGCCCAGACTAACCCAGCTTTCTAGGTCACTTCATGCTCATACCTGACGAAGACTTTCCCAAGTCCGAGTTCAGGACCAGAGAACCGCTAAGAGCTTCTACTTCTACCCAGAACGGCACTCTCGGCGTCTTCGAATACGTCCACGCCTTGCACTGCGTTGTAAGTATTCTAAAATTCCTACCTACCGGCAGTTGCATAAGGCTGACGGATATCCAAGCACCTTATGTGGAAGCAAACATACCCCGACTACTACAAGGAGGATCACATGAAGATGAAGAACGACCCAAAGTGGCAACACGCACACATCAGTACGTCGAAGTTTCACACTGCTGTTTGGTAATGAACATGGCTAATAGGATTTGACAGACCACTGCGCGGACTTCTTGAAGCAGTACATCCTCTGCAACGCCAACCTCGCGTTCAACACGTACTCGTTCAACGAGACCCGCGGAGGCGCCGACGTGGATATCGTGTCATCGCACACGTGCATCGACTTGGATGCCGCGGACGACTACGCCAACCGACACTACGTCAACAGGTCTGAGCTGGCCATCGCTACCGGCAAGGACATCACTGCCGATGTATTCTGAGGTCTGGGTGGTGGAAGTTGAAATAGACCGACTTATGAGAAGGTTATGAACATTCTTAGGCTTTACTAGAAGCAGAGCTGTTCATGGGCCAAGAGAAAAGCGCAACAAGCGTGGACGGAAATCACATCACTGTACACAGATAGAAGCAAGAATCTCGAGAGAAATGCCAGATGACTTGTCAGGGTATCTCTATGCCTGCTTTTGCCGTTCCGCGAACCGTTCTCGGAACTTTAGCAAACCATGTGTGACCTCACCACCGAATTCCCAAAACGCCGGCCCGGCTGGACATACATAACCAGCACATCTTTGTAAACATACACGGAACGCAGCGGGGGACTACCACTGGCGGCGTCCGCCACGGCCTCTACCGAATCCACCGCGGTTGCCGCCTCCCATGCCCTGCTGGTCGTAGCCTCCGTACTGTCCTTGATTTCCGCCAAAGCCCTGGTTGAAGTTCTGTCCCTGGCCGCCTTGACCAGCGTTGCCGGCCTGGCCCTGCATGCCATTGAACATGGCTGACATCTGGGAGGGGTCCATCTGGCTGGGATCCATACCCTGACCCATCATCTGCTGCATCATGGCCTGCATCTCGGGCGGCATACCTTCCATGCCACCCATTCCAGGCATGCCACCGGCCTGCGCGTTGGCGCCAGGCGCGGCACCTCCGCCGGGCATGTTCATTCCGCCCATCATCATCATGCCAAAGTCCTCCATCATCTTCTTCTGGCCGGCGGCAATAGCGTCGCCGCTGAACTCTCCGCGAACGGCTTCCTGCTTGGCGGCGTAGAGCGCCCACGTGAACTCGTCGAAGCCGTAATTGAAGTAGTCGCTGATGTCGGTACCGGGTTTGCGCCAGGGCTTCTCGTTCTCGGTCAAGTCTGCAGAGACTGTTAGCGATACGACACCGCAGCAGGTGCAAGGGGGCGTTCTTACCCTCGTCAATGTTGACCGCGGTGATGGGCTTGCCGACGGGAGGGTAATCGGGATTCGCGTTGACGTCGATCGTAGACTTGGAAGCCGCGGCAGCAGCCTTGTCGGCGCTGGGGACACCGAGAGGAAGGTCGGAGGGTGAGGCTCTGGCGGAATCCTCCTCCTTGACTGGGGCTGCTTTGATAGCCATGTCGTTGGAGGCTGACCTTTGTGGGATGTTTCTGATGTCGCTGTAGCGGGATTGTCTGTTGTTTGTGTGAGCAAAGGCACAGAAAAGTTTCGCATCTTTGTAGGTGAACAGAGATTGGGACGTACGTCGGAGGTGCAGCCTTTGTGCCATCTTTGCGCTCGGTGATGATGTCGATATCCTGGAGAAAGCGCCAGAACAGTCAGTCGCCAATTCACAAGTACAAAAGCTGGAATGATGCAAGGTAGGTAGGGGTATTTACAGAATCATCCTCGTCTTCATCCATGGCGCCGCCCTCGTCTTCCTCTTCGCCCTCCTCGAGCTCTTCTGATTTGCTCTCGGGTACCTCTACTTTTGGCGACGCCTCCTGTGGAGGAGCAGCAGCAGAAGCATTTTCGGCTGTTGTTGTGCTTGTAGTGGGCTGCTCGGTGGACGGCTCATCCGCGTAGAAATCGTCGTCTTCATCGATGTCCATTTTAGCTGTGTTTACGTCTTACGATGTTGTCGGCAATGCTTCAAGAGGGGAGAGGAAGTGGCGGTGGTACGGGTAGAGGTGGGAATGGAGATGCAGGTGTTGGTGATGCAGCTTTTGCGGGTTGCTTTGCATTCAATGGTTTGGCGCCTGGAGCTCTAAGCTCTGGCGCGCCGAGGGGACCACCACCGAGAGGGCCACGGCGGCCACCGCACAGCAAGGGTCGCCCAGGCCGGCAGCAGCAGCAGGCGCCACAGGGAGTGCCACAGCCCGCGCCACACTCAGAGCCACACCAGAATGCTTGGGTAAGCAACCAGCCACAGAGGATGGACCTCGACGAGCCACAATTGTACCCGGCAGTCGGTCAAAAGCGACGCCGATTAGCCAATGAAAGACCGTCGCATTTTACCACCAGAGCGGACGAGGCAACGCTTGCTGTTGGAGCTATCGAAGCTGCCCATGGCCCGAGCGCCAAAACAGCAGCCAATTCTTCCCCGTCGAAGACCGCGAAGCAGCAACCAGCAGCAACAAATAATTCAACCACAGAAGGCCATCACCAACTGCTACCTTTTTCACCCAACTCTCCGACTTCGAGGACCGACGCGTCCGCGCCTCGCAAGGACACACCTAAACAATCCAATATTGGCGCACTCGAACAAAAATTCAAGATGTTTGGACGATCGGCTGGTGGCTTGAGCATCAACACTGGTGCCGCCAATGCTGGGTGAGTTGAAAGAGTCTTGCTATGTTCTGCTCATTGTAGACTCGTGGAAGCTGACAACAATGCCAATTATTCTAGCACCACCAGTAATGCCACAACTTCCGCACCTAGCGGTGGCGGGGGACTCTTTGGAGCCTCGACAACGGCGACGACGACACAGCCTGCTACGGGCGGTCTTTTCGGCGGCACTTCGACGGCAGGAGGAGGACTCTTTGGCAACAAGCCTTCAACACCACAACAACCAGCCACCGGTGGTCTTTTTGGAGCGGCACCAGCACAGCAACCCCAGCAGCAGCAAAGTAGCGGCGGTCTCTTTGGAGGCGCCCAAACTCAGCAGCCTGCACAGCAGACTGGAGGAGGATTGTTTGGAGGAGCTGCGACACAGCAACAACAGCCTCAGCAGCAGCAGAGTGGAGGGCTTTTTGGTGCAACCCCCGCAAAGCCGGCGACGGGCGGTCTCTTTGGTGCAAGTACAGCGCAGCCCCAGCAGCAGCAGCAACAGTCAACAGGAGGAGGTCTCTTTGGCGGCGGCAATAATGCACAGCAAACCCAGCAGAACCAAGGCACGGGTGGTGGTCTTTTCGGACAGAGCCAGGCTCAGAACCAGCCGAAGCCCGGTGGTCTCTTGTAAGTGGCATCTCGTAGAAGGCGTCTGAGCAGTGACTGACAAGACATGCAGCGGCCAAACTCAGCCCGCAGGTAGCTCTGCTCCCGGCTTAACTATGGGTCAGTCGACGACGCAGCAAAGCGTTCCGGGCGTGCGAGTAGACATGTCAAATATCAAGGGCACGACGCGATTCAACGACCTCGAACAGTCCATCCAGTCCGAGATGGAGAACTGCGATCTCATGATCCAGCGATTCATGGCACACGCATCCGAAATCCGAGGTTTCATGGCCGCCCACGGCGGTGACTTGGCACAACTTACCAACGACGTCAACTGGCTCCAGCGCAAGTACGAGGGTGTCAAGACGACGCTGGACGAGGATATTGTCACTCTGGGACACCTCAAGGACCTGGTCAAGTCCGACGCGGACATTGCCAAGATGGCGTTCGCAGGCGCCGACCAGCTCAAGCTTCCCGCACACTACCACCAGACCTGGCTCACTCGCGGCGGATCGGGCGGCAACACGACCAATGGCAACCAGGACCGCAACCTCGAGGACGTGCTCACTCTCTTCTCCAACGAGGCCGATCGCCTGAAGGAGCTCAGCCAGTTCCAGGTTCAGAAGATTAGGGAGATGGAGCAGCACATGCCCGGCGTTGAGCACGGTCTCTACGAGCGTGTGCGATCGTTGCGGGACCAGACCCAGGTGCCGGCCTTTAACATGGTTCTCGACTTGTTAGAGACGATCAAGATGATGGGTGACAAGATTTACGAGGCCGCGGGTAGCATTGTCGACGTACGGGAGAAGCTCACTCAGCTCCAGCGCCAATACCCCACCAAATGAGAGAGGAGAATCGAGATGGAAGTGTCTTGTGGATACATAGTATGCAAGGGGAGGCCACGGTCCAGGGAAGCAAACGGCGTTCAGGTTGGGGAAAAGAATTATATACCGGCTGCATTGGCGAAATCAAGCATTGGTAGCTCTCGGGCAGATGTGGCCGCGGTTGAGGGTCGTAAGGTTGTAATGCTTGGATATGAGATCCTAGAATGTGAGAGACATCGTCTGCATCAACTTTGGTGGGAAGCAAGGGCCGTGAGAGAGGATTTGATAGCCCAGACGCGTAGGCTGATTCAATATCAAGCCCCGGTCCAGAGGATGAATCACCGTCGTCCCGATGCCTCAAAGTGATTCGTCCTCATGGTCCGTACATCACAGGAATACACGAGACGAATACGCAACAGTCCAGTACCCTTACATTCAGGCCCAGCGCTTCATCCGTCAACCAAGCCAACTCGATCCCCATGGTCGAGCGGTATAACGCCCTGGTCCGTTAGTAAAGAACTTGGTGATGAAATCCCGCGAAGTCTTCTCAGATGGAGGGTTTCGTAGGGTGCCCAGTTCGATTCACGAACTGGGCACTTGAGCTTTCGTCTTTTTGTCTCTAATCACGTAATCATTGTAAATACTTTAAGGCACTTTGATGTACGATGCTGCGAATTGCAAAAAGTGTCTGTATTTTGTAGTCTGAACCTTGATATAAGGTACTTGATGGGGTATCAGGGAGCTGTAATCCGCTCAGCAAAGCCGTTCATTCGCCCAAAACGCCCGGTGATGCCTCTCGTGTCTCGTCTGTTGGTGACAATTGGTCTGAGGTAATAGCAAAAAGGCCTCTAAGCAAATCCCTCCGCCTTTGCCATGTTCGCCGTCTTCGCCGTCGTCGTCGCCGTAGCCGTAGACGTACACTCTCAGTAGGTAGCCAATATCAGTACGAGCCCTCCCGACCGCCATGCTCATCATCCCCGCCACCATCATCCTCGCCAAACTCGCCGTCGTCAAAGTAATTCTCTGCGTCGTAATCACCCGCATCAGAGTCATCATACTCAACATCCTGCTCCTCCTCCCCTCCCTCCTCCCACTCTTCCTCCCCACCCTCACCCTCCGCCTCGCCCATCCTCTCCAGCGCCTCCAACTTCTTCTTCGCCCCATCCGGCCCAATCTCTCCGTCCTCATCCCCCTCCGCATTCACATGAAACATCTCCTCAGCCGTAGGCAGCGCCGTAATCCGACTCAACCGCAACCTCTTGGCCTCCCCGCCCCTCCTCTTCTCCCCTGGCGCGACATCGTCCCCGTCAAGCGTCTCATGCAGCTCGAGCGGGAAGAACTCTTTACAAAACGGCCGTCCGCCGAAATCGGGGAGCGCGCGCTCCGGGCGTGTGAATTTCTGCGAGTACGTCGGCACGGCGTTGAACGGATCCGCCGTGGCGCGGGTGCGCACGCCGTACTTTGCGTTGACTTGTTCTTGGCCGTAGAGCTTGCGCGTGTTCGTCGGGTCCATGCCCCAGGTGCGCTTGCGGGTGTAGAGGGGACCGTCTTGGAATTGGCGGCGGAAGAGGAGGAAGGCGTTGACGTTTGCTTGTTCGTGGTCTGTGACGGGTTTCGATGTCGGGACTGCGTAGGCCTAACAGAAGTCACGGATTAGTATGTCGAACTTGGTCATGTAGGAAGTTTGCGTACATACAGGGAAGAGCTCTGAGGGTCGTGTGTCGGGTGCGTGTTCGCCGTTGTCCCATGATAGCTGGGGGCCCTGGCGACCCCCGCGCCCGCCGCGGCCACCACCTCTGCCACCGCGCGACATTGTAGCTTGTCTCTGTTTTGTCGGTAAAACCTTTTCTGCAATTGGGCTGGCGATTGAAGCTGTGAGGGCGGTTGTTGGGTCGGAAATGGGAAAGGAAAATTATGCGTCAGAGCGAGGTTGCGTGGTGTTTGGTTATAGTTGGAGTCAGCCTCTCTTTTTTTTTCGTCTACGAGAAAAAAACCCCAAGCTGCAGTTCGGTTTGGGACGGTGCTGCAGCGCATCGACAGCCTTGGATTTTTTTAGCGGGGTCCATCCCGCACCTGAGGTGAGGTGCACTGCAGCATGGTGGGTGACGCGCCGTGCCCCGCTTGCCGGCGCTTTCAGGCACCGGTGCCACCCCAGCGCCGTCCAGATCTCGGCTCCGTTCCTGAGGTACTTCCCTCAGGTACCTTACGTGAGGCTTCATATTCCTGACTGTACCTTGGCGTAGGCATATAATCATTCAATACTTGTGACAAGATTAACAATTGCACTCATTGAATGTTTATTAGACTATTAAATTCGTCACTCATGGCTTCCTAACAGGCACCTGAGGTACGAAGCTCTTACACGCACGCAGGTCCACGCAACCCCCAGCAGCCTGTCACTCACTCATCCTTATCTTATCTTAGCGTCCGGGGACCCTTAAACCGAGCTTCCTTCCCTCTCTTTCCCCCGCCATCTCCAACGCTCTCATCACCGACAGCTTCCCGAGCTTCACAACTCTGTCGCAAACACCACCACAGCTCCGTCACCATAGAAAATCCACGACAACGACTACCACAACCACCCATCGATGACAGAACGCATCGTCCCCAACATGTCCGCCAATTCCATCCCCATATCCGGCCTCGCCGAGCTCGAAAAGCATCTCGACGACCTCGTCGCCTCCCCAGACACACCCCTCGACCCAAAGCTCCTCGACGATGTAGAGCTCCAACTCAACGGTCAGTCCCCATCCTCTCCAGTCCTCTTCTTACTCTCTGTCTCGCATCCATCTTCCAAACCAAAGACTAACAACCTCATTCACAGAAACAAACACACCCCCCCTCCTCCCACGCCTCCTCCCCCCTCTAACAACAATCCTCAAAACAACCCCCCACGACCCAAAACAAATCGTCTCCCTCACAATAAAACTCCTCGCCCCCGTCCCCTTCACAAAAACCCTCCAACTGGCAGACGAATCCTCCC